TTTAATATAAAATTTAAAAAAAACTCGTTTCGGATAAGAGCCCATAGAGATATATCTGATACCGCAGATGGTGTTTTGATGAAACGGGTTTACCCCTTCTGTACAAGGTATAGATTTCAATTCGAAACATTGGAAAAATGTAATTGATCGAATTAAAAGAGAAAAGAATATAGATTTCACCGGTGAACAAACCTATTTCTAACCTAGTGGCGCTAAAAATCGATTATGAAATCGAAGAAAAAAATTAATATTTAATCGTTCGCTCATTTTAATAACTTAATGTACTCGTTTTTTATCATATATAATTATTCATTCGCTGGTAACAGTGCGTTAATTTACGGGTGCACCCGTCCTACGTTCGGAAAAGAACGGTCCATTTCGGTGCAATTAAGTAGGGGGATTACACGGAATGACTTGAAGAAACGACAACAGTGACATCGATCAAAAAAAAAGGAAAAAAAAAGAAAAAAAACTGAGATAGTAGATTGCGTCCGTTTTGATCCATGAACGAAGCGACTAATTGTGAAAACAAATCCGTCGGAGGATGATCGATCGGTCAGGTCAATTAACCGTTAGCTTCACCGATAAGATTTCCCGATACGAGTCGTCACGTATAATTACGTATAATATATGCACAAATCGAGTTAAGGCTCGCATAGACGATACGATTTGTCGTACAAGTTGCACCAGGGAGTTGGAAAGAGTATTGTCCATCAATAAATAATACTGTCGTATTCTCTACATGTCGTACAACTGCACAAGAAACGTTGCAACTATCGTTCAGACGGTTGAAACGACCTTGGTATAGTACGATCAATTGCATCGACAAATCGTATCGTCTATGGAGCGTTTTAAACTTGTCTTTACTTTTTTTTTGTTCAACACTATAACTACCAGACCCTCGTCAAAATGACAGATTACAGATTTATTATTTTACCATATCTGAAATTATAACGATGCTTTTCGCGGAATTTTTATTGGCTTCCAATTTACGACAGATTTTCTTTTATATTATCAAAGATTACAAACGCAACCACACTTGAAAATTTTGATAATAGAGACAGTTCACCCGAAGAGGACGATGATTAAAAACAAACTTTGAAAAGGGAGCAGGGTGAATTAAAAAGTTTGGGAATCTATGATCCAGATAAAGACATTCGAATAACGAATAAAAAATTAAAAAGGAAGTACTTCTGTCATCTTCAATCGTTTAAACGTGAAAATTTCAATTTTTCAAAAATAATACTTCCACGGTGGACACATTTGGCAAACAATTATATCTAATCTCATTCATTGTTTAAAATTTACGCTCTTAGATACCGCAGCTTATCATTATGTATTATTCGAATGAAAATTCTGCTGTACGACACGCGATCGACGAACTACACACGCGAATATCCCCCCCCCCCCCCCCTCTAAAACGATTCATGGACGAGTGAGTGCGCGGCACCCGTGGGATCGCGTTTGACGTGTACACACGGCATTTAAATGGAAATACATGCACGGGCCCGTGAAAGCGTCACGAATTGCGTAACACACCGTCCGAGGGAGGTCTAACGTCTAAGGCGCCAGTTTATTCGGAAAGGTGGCTAGCGAATGAACCGAATACAGGAGTGACGGGACTGAGTCATCGAGCGATTGTTCGAAGAATCGATGAGAACCACGTGAAATCGATCAGAGAGTTTGACTACTGCAGCAGTAATTTCCTCGACCACCACCTGACCACTGTTTCTGCGTTTGTACTGGCTCAGGATACAGTAAATCATCGATAAGTGTTCCTGATAAGGAGAAGTCCCCAGGCGTAACGCTGACGGTTTTAATCAGGTTCAGCATATCGATGAGCTTGAAATTTTAAAGTCAGTGATTAGTTTATGACATTTTTAATGTTCAGTGCCAAATAGAAAGGATATATACATAGGTATACCTTTAGTGTTCACTGGCCACCTCTGATCGTTGTGCAGAATAGTTGTGTCCCTTTTATGCCTGAATTTTGAGGTCCAAGGTGATGATTCGGACTTAGATACCGACGCATTTCATCTGCAAATAAAATAAGAAGCGGAGTTTCGTGAAAACCACGGATAATTACAGAATTCCCAACGAATTCTAAAAATTTTTTTTTCGATCGACGAAAGGGCCCACGATTCGATGGCAATCGAAAACGTCGAAAGAACGGGCGGGAAAGTGGGATAAGAATTTAATCAGGAGAAATTAAAACCACCGCAAGCCAGCGCAGTGGGGTGAAGAACGATAGAGAGAGGGCCAATCACAAGCGTGTTACGAGTGAATTAACATTGAAAGAGAAACAGGAGGGACTCAGTGACGCACTTTCTGTTCGTTAGAAAATATATTCACCTGGCAGCGAGTCGATTTGTTCGACGATTGCATAGCCGACGGAATTTTTTTTTTTTTCTTTCGTTTTCTGTTAACGCGACTGTTCGAATCGCGTCGACCGAGGCGTTAAAAAAAAAAGTGGCACGCCACCAGTTCTCGGTTTCCACGGTCAACACACATCGCGTCGTTGTGTGCCCCCCCCTGTGCGCTTGTAAAGGAAGAGGTTAGCGACGTGGGTGGAGGCGCGTCCAGTCGAGCAAGGTGTCTCCGATCGGTCGCACACCTTGTTGATCGTCCGACTAAAAATTCTGTGTATTATGAACGTTGTGAACCGTTGACACCGACTGGAACAATAAGACAATGATCGTCGTGGTGTCGTTGGTTTTGGGACCGTGGTGGATCGTCGTTGATCGAAGAAGAAACATGGTGTCTGTCGATCGACGGTAGCGGCTGGAATCACCAAACGTGGCCTGATACACGACCAGATCGTGCCTTTATTATTAGTGATTGTGTGAGCAGTTTGAAAAATTAAAAAAAAAAAAAAATTTTTTTTAAAAATAAGCAGTATTTTTATAGGAAATATAATTTTTTAAATAATACTTCCTTGAACGAGTCGATGAATTTGAAGTAAGATTCTTTAATCTGATTAACTGTTTAAAGATGACTTGGATGGATTATTCGAATAAAATTCTGCCCAATTTTGGTTTTGGGACCGTGGTATATGTGGATCGTGGCTGATCGAAGGGGAAAAGTGTTCGTCGATCGACGGTGTAACGTCCTGGAATAAACGATAAAACGTGGAACTGATACGACCAGACCGAGCGATCATCCACGAACGTTAGGATCTAGACAGGGGTCTTAGAACTCAGATCGTAGGTCGTGGGTCGGTGTATCGTCGACTGGAAAAACGAGACACACGGATGAGCGTGAAAGTCGAAACGTGAATTTTCGTCCATTCACGCCGTCCGCAGACTCGCTTTGCATCCGATACGAAAAGTGGGACGCGCGTTGATCACCTGTTCGCTGCGACACACCTCGAGCGATTTGTTCTCGATTTTTTGTTCTTCTGATAATCCAGAGTCAAGGAAGACAGTGCACACGTTTTGGAGAGGGAGTTGCACATCCACGTGACCAATGACTAGAATATGTAAAGGTTAAAAAAAGGTTAAAGATAATATAAAGGTTAAAGATAATATACAGGTTAAAAACAAGTTAAAGATAATATAAAGGTTAAAGATAATAGGGGCTGGATGTATAAAGGACCTGGAAGTGATGTTCATCTTTGGTGATCATTGAAAGTGATAATTTCAGTGTATTTTCAACTGCGGGTTGGTCCGACTTGGGTTGATAGTCAGAACGATATTTAAAAGTGTCTGTCAGGATTTACTGGTCCCCTGGAAAAGAAGAATTCGTTTAGTTACAGGCGATGCAAAAGACTTACGAGAGGATCACAGTACCGAGGATAGTGGTCTGCTCGAGATCCGCGTTGGACGAGTCCACGGACGTAGTGGACGGTTCCTGTGATCGAAGATTGTCGTTGATGCAACAGAAAATGATCAGATTACGGAGCAGGAAACACTCGAGACGGTTTTCGACGAGCATCGTCGATCGTCGATCACCATCCTCCTCCAGAAGCCCATCGCCATCTTCGTTCCCCAGAACGCACGATCAGGACCAAGATGCCCAAAAGGGGGTAAATGACGACGAAAGGGATGTGAAAAACGTGACGGACGTCGAGACCGATCAGAGTGATCAGGTGATCGTGTCCAATGACGTGGAGTCCTCTACGGTGGACAGGTACCAAAATGGCTTCTTGGATAATCAAGACAGCAAGGAGGAAACATCGTCCACGAAGCCAGAGGTGATCGTTGTCAGCGTTAAGTCAATGGTGAATGAGACCTGCAAAAGTCGACCAATGTGCGAGAAATGCATCAAAGGACAAAGGAAGAAGGAAGAGGCTTGCTTGAATAATTGCTCGGGGTATCAGCAGTACCTTCGACTGCTGGTCGTGCCCCAAACGAATCTGGAATGGGGAGAGGGTAGCGGTGACGATCTGAGCTCCGAGTGGGATTCCGATTATACCGAGCGGTCGAATGAGAAAACGATCGGCAAGGTAAACTAGGGGGATGAATGGAAATTGAAAATAGAAATGTTTACGGAATAAAGAATCCTTGATCGAATCCTCTGTACTAATGTGTTCGTATTCCTAGATGATCAAAAACGCACCCGAATTAGAAAATCATTGTTTCAAATTGTTATATGGATGTTCAGATTGTAACGGTCATGAAGAATCTTTAGATTGAATAACTTACGACGAACCTCAATTTTAGATTATACAGGGTGAGTCGATAAGAATGTTTTGATGAATTATGTGTGTAGCATTTTAAGGGGTGCATCAAATGGATACAATTCGACTTTTTGTGAGTTTTTTTCAGGGCCACACGTGCTAAAAATGTGAAACCTAAAAATAACGGTTATATAATTGATATGGAAACAGATCTAGGTACAGTAAGCTGATATAGTCTGAAATTTAAGTTGTTCAGAAAATAAAGGTTCTTCATAACTGTTCCAAGAACCTAAATCAATTAAACAGTTTTCAAACCCTTCCCGAAGCGGATAAATTGGCGTGTGAGGCTCTTTAGTAATATCAGGTTTCCATTTTGTTTCAGTCGTCGGGATGGAGGAAGCTCAGGAATATCGTTCACTGGACACCGTTCTTCCAGACGTACAAGAAGCAGAGGTATCCATGGGTAAGCGTCGTTGCTGTTCTGGAAATACAACGTTTAACAAAAAAATAAATTGCTGAACTTTGTGATTCAGGTGCAGCTCGCCGGACACCAAGGGAATTTCCGTGCTGGGCCAACACCAGGAACGATACTGAAGAAACTTTGTCCCCAGGAGGAAGCGTGTTTCCGGTTGCTGATGAACGACGTGCTGAGGCCGTTCGTGCCGGAGTTCAAAGGTGTTCTGGACGTGAAAGAGGCGGACGAAGGGAACACCGAAGAGCCCGAGACAGGGGAGAATTGTCCGAAGGACAGCACGGCGAACAAACGAACGGTGGTGTCCTCTTACTTGCAACTGCAGGACCTTCTCGGTGACTTCGAGCACCCGTGCGTGATGGATTGCAAGGTGGGAGTCAGAACGTATCTGGAGTCAGAGCTCGCGAAGGCCAAGGAAAGACCCAAGGTACATATGGATCGATGCGGGTTGAAGGGAGCAAATTATCTAGATAAAGGATACACACCTTTTCAATACATTGTATGATCGTCGCGGACGATTCATCGAAACAAACGATTGTCTTCATCTAAAGTGATCAATAAAAACTAGACTGTGGATTTTAGGTAGTGTTGTTAAAATGAGCGTCGAGTCTTGAGCTTTAAGAGCTCGAGTCGCGGTTCAAACCCTCAATATTCGAAGCTCGAGTCGTATAAATTGTATGTAGTGATGTACAGAACTCGAGTTTTCGAGGCCTTAAAACTTAACCTAAAAGTTTTCAGTTTTGAACTCTAATATTACATGAAACTCAAGCTTTTAAAGCTTTAAGGGAGAATGATAGAAAAATGCCTAGAAAAAAGTGTTTTTTGTAAATTCATAAAATGTTGACACTTTTTGTAGGACTTTCTTTTTCTGATATTATATTATTTACTGTATGGGTAATTTTAATGAAATAATCGATTTAACACTAACTGTGTCCCTGCACAGTTGAGGAAAGACATGTACGAGAAAATGGTACAAGTGGACCCGACCGCGCCGACCGCCGAGGAACGTCGGGTGCAGGGTGTCACTAAACCGAGGTACATGGTTTGGCGGGAGACCATATCCAGCACGGCCACGCTTGGCTTTCGCGTGGAGGGCATCAAGCTTGCGCACGGGGGCTCGTCCAAGGACTTTAAAACGACCAGGAGTCGGGAACAGGTTCGTTAATTGCTCTGGTAATAATGGACTGGTCGATAAGTCACGAGAAAAATGGGAGGTTAACGTTTTGCAATATGAAATTAAGAGAATATAGACTTTTCGAGTTATTTTTAAAGATTTCGACAGGGACCAGAACGTCGATTACGAAAGGGTAACATTAAACGAATTACCAATGTTTTACAATTCTCTTTTACAGGTGACTGAGGCGTTGAGACGTTTCGTCGAAGGTTATCCGCACGCAGTGCCAAAGTATATCCAACGGTTAAAGGGGATCAGAGCGACCCTAAAAGCGTCCCCGTTCTTCGCGTCGCACGAGGTCGTCGGATCCAGTCTGTTGTTCGTTCACGACGCGAAGAACGCCGGTATCTGGATGATCGATTTCGCGAAAACGTTGCCGCTGCCCCAGCATCTGCCACGGATCCGCCACGATGCCGAGTGGCAGGTGGGAAACCACGAAGACGGTTACCTGATAGGCGTTAACAATCTGATAGACATATTCCAGGATATTCGGAACACCGAGACAACGTAGTTTTTTTTTTTTTTTATATATATATAATTAATCCCGTACAACAAAACGTGTTTCTCGACGAACGCGCACAACAGTGGAAAAGAGCCTTGAACGAACGAACGCACAAAACCTTCGATCTCGTTCGGGGACGACGGACGACTATTATGACGGTTCTCCCTCTAAGGCTTGTACATATAGATATACTGTGGACTCTTAACTATATTGCCACGGCGAGGCACTTCCCCTTCACACGTACTTTCGAGCACACACATTTGCTCTCCCACCACGTTGCGTACGTCGGCGCACCAGCACGATCCAGCTTTTGCGCAGGCGTTGAGGCCGAGGCTATGATGATAGAAGTTAGCATGGAGGGGGCTCCGAACTCATTACCATTTTACTCCCCTACAACCCCGACCATGGCAATATAGTTAGAGTCTCCACTGTATTCGCATTTAGGACGTTCACGGGTATCCTCGCGAGAAACGGACCAAAGACGCGGCGGCGGCCGAACACGCTGCCTAGGTGTATATTCATAGTAACCGTAGACCGCAGAGATTTGTAAAAATAATTTAATCTTCTACGGTAATTACGTAAGATTTATTTATACGTTACATACGACTTTCGCAGAATCTTCTTGATACAAGAGAGAAAGCAAGGGAGAATGAGTGAGTGAAAGAGAGAGAACGGAAGGTGTTTTTGTATTTAAAAAAATCGTACCATGCATTTGTAAATAATCCGACACTTAATAGAAAACAAGGTCAATCACGTGAGTGTGTGTGTGTGTGTGTACTTATTTTTCACCTGGCCTACTATTTATTGCGCGTGTGTCCATGATCTCGAAAAGACTTTCCTTGATCGAAGCGATATGCACGAAAACGGGACCTAGAGCGACCTCTACGTTTTACACTGCTTTTTACATGGGAATCGTGCTTTAGCTTCTCCATGAAATCTCTCGAAACTAACACCCCCGTCGAAATTGAATTGAACGAAGAACTGAACGATAATAAGAAAGCATGAGTATCAATCCTGTCAGGGCGCGGTATAAGGACTGTTCCTCGATTGCTGCTGTGCCTGTATCGTTTGCTGCTGTTGATTCCCGGTCGATTGCGTTGAGGTTATGGTCGTCGGCGCGATCACTCGCGCGTATACCGCGGCGCCGGTGGTTTTCAATCCCGCCGGGGTCGGTATCACTTTCAAACCGTGAAGCGTTTTGATGTTGAGCAACTGACTTGGCAGGATAATCGGCTGTTGTTGCGTTTGTTGTTGCGACGACTGTTGTTTCCCGAGGACCACGCTTCCGCTGCTGCTCACCCCGACCCCGACATTTTTGTTACCACTGGCCAAGACGATTGGTTTTCCGGCCAACTGAGCGGTCACCATTCGCACGGTTTGAGCCTGCTGAGGCTGGGATTGTTGCGTACTGACTATGATCTTGGACTGTCCTGACGATGTTTGTGCCTGTGACACAACCTGAGAATTCCATTCGAATTGTATTTTATTACAATAGGTGACTTCCCAACTGGGCGGGTATATTATAACTGATGGGAAGCTGGCAATGCTTGTACTGGAAAATAATTATATACCTGATACTGAGTCATAAGCTGCTTCCCCTGTCTGTTAAGTTGATTCGCGTGGCTTGCTGTAGTGGCCAACTTCAGTCCCTTTTGGGCCAGGAGACTCTCCACGGATATCAGCTGACCTCCACCGGAACTGGTTAGAACTTTCGCTAGTATCTTTTGTTGTTGCTGTTGCTGTTGCTGATGCGGCGATTGTTGTATTTGCACGGCAATCGGCTTTCCACCGATCTGCGCGATTATACGCTGCATGCCGGACGTTTGTATCGACTGTTGCTGATTGGTCACGACCCGTTGCTGAATTTGCGGTTGCTGCTGTTGTTGTTGTTGCTGGAATACAATGAATAATTCAATTACGATACAGGTTTTTGCACTCCAAACTCTAGGGAAAAATCTGTAAAAACTATACAAAGTAAAGGAAGTCATCTTGCACACGATTCAGTACCTTCAACTGTTGCTGCTGCAATTGCTGCGGCTGATTCCCGGACGGCGACGATTGCTTGATAAATATTGTTTGGCCTTGGAGGCCGTGACCGGTGAGAAGCGATTTAATTTGCCCTGAAGTGACCAATTTGATCTGCGAGGCTAACAGAGTCTTTCCAGGCAACACGTGTTGCTGCTGAGACTGTTGTTGCTTAATATTAGCGGTCTGCAAGATACTCTTTCCTGCTTGGTTCGTTACTATGGTTTGCGGTTGTTGCTGCTGCTGGGGCTGCGATTGTTGCTGCTGCTGCTGTTGGCTCTGCACTTTGGCAGACGGGAATATAGTTGTTAAATTGCTGGTCACGTTGGTCGGATTATTGGAAACACTGCTGGCTGCGACGGATTGAGCAGAGTGTAGCACAGAGTGCCCGGACAACCGAATAGTTTGCAAGCCTGCAGAAGTGGACACCTGAATCTGGTGATGCGGGAAGTGTTGCTGATTCGACTGTAGCAAACTCTGAGCGCTCGTCTTGACAACGGCAACCGGTTTGCCGCCGATATTGGCCAACTTTTTCGTTGGAGCTGTCGTGGTAACCAGTGGTTTCACTTCACTGGTCGCAACTTCTTTCTCTACAGTCACGGTACTGAGCGAAGCGGAAGAGGTAGGAAGTGTAACAGGAACCGAAGCGCCTGCCGCACTGATGACGGGAGACGTCGTAGTGGCGCTCATTGTTGTCATCACATTTGTAACAACAACAGTCTGTTCGGCTGACACAGAGTGATCGCTGATAAGCTTCTCTTCGATTTTCTTTTGTTCTTTCCTGCAAGAATAATAAGCAGTATTAATACGGTATGGCAAGTTTCTCATTTCAGGAAATGGTAACCTTAAAACTAACCTAGATATAATTGGTTGTGCAGTAGTTCCAGTTTTTCGTTCCTTTTTAGGTGTAGTTTCTTTACTATTGTTCGGAGATTGCTCTTTATTGGCGTTGGCGGATTTTATGACAGGAGGCAGGGCTTTGTTTCGCGACATACTGCCAACGTTCTTCTTATTCTTAGCAACACCTTGCAGTTGTTGATGATACATTTCTGTAAAAATAAAAATACAATGCATTTTACCGAAAAGTGGAACAAAACGGGAACTAATAATCGCGGTAGAATAAACACAAACCGAATTCAGACTCTGATCGTGCTCGATGAAGATACAACCATTCCTTGCGTCGCGGGTAATATCGTACACAAGGATCCGTTTCATAATGCAACCTATCCAAAGCACCAGACACAACCGAGTGCAGATAACCTTCTTTGTCGTCACTGTCTGGTTGATCTCTGATATACTGTGAATCCTTCAATAGTTGACAAATGTCAGCTCGAGTCCCTTCGCCATTGGGTAATCTTGCAGTCGCATCTCTAACCAACGCCAAGATCGTCACGAAATTCGGACGATCCGCTACCAATAATGAGTGTCCACGAGCTTTCGTTAATCCTGCAGCTATTACAGAAATTAAATAAAATTCAAAATTCATTCATAACCAATTTATTGCGTGGATAAAATTTTTTTCATAAAAAAAACTGTACGAAAGAACGTACCGACATTATGCTGATAAATTCCTTTAACCGGACCTACGACAGACGCGTAACCGTGCATTCGATACGTGAAGGCTTTATGAGGTGCAGCGTAGCGCATACGCTCTTGTCTTCTAAATTCTTCGCGTTCATCTGTCGTAGCAGGTCGAACTTTCCATTCGGTGGGCCATAAAGCTCGCGGTGGTTCCCATTCCGCGATGGTGCTAGATCCCCCGTCAACACTGATTGATTCTATCGCAGGGCTACTATCTCTAGCAGTGGTATTTATATTTCCATTTCCGGAACTATTGTTAATATTACCGCAGGTAATTTGAGCCACTTGAGGTTGCTGCTTTACAGATACCACGGAACAAGCAGTAGACGACGTCGGTGGACCTAACGAATCTCTGGAAAATCATTCTTTTTTACACATCGTTTACGGAGTAATCCTGAAAGAGATGGATACACAGTTTTCGTTAGACAAACTTACCTGTGCATTAAGAATTTCGTACACAAAATCGAGAGACGCGAATCTGAATCCCGACCTGCGCCGATCCATGCGTAAACTCCATGCCCTTTATTTTCCAAATAAGGGACAAGCTCTAGTTCACGTTCCTGTCGGTCACCCACTTCTTGAGAGTAAATGTACTCTCCAGCAAGAAAACCTAACGCCAATGGAACCAATGCGGTCCAAGAAGACGCCATAGAATACCTATGTGGAGAATAATTAAGAGTTAATTTTGATTTTTACGTAAAAATAGATGCCTGGTCATGATGCCTACCAATCGTTTAATGGTGAAATAGGATTCCCTTGCCACAGCGTTACAGCATCTTTCATTTCCACAGCGCTCATTCTGTACTCGCCTTTCGACGTAAAGGCGTCTCTTAGCAATGAGAAGAAACAGGCATGTGTTTCTTGCATTAGTTCCGCTCCGCTGTGAATATCGATAGTTTCGTCGTTTGTAGGAACGTTCAATTCTTTGTCAGGTATCGAGATGACGCCTTCGTCCTCGCATCTAAAACGACATTGTAAATAAGGACACAAGGCACAGTATTGTAGTCACACGTTGGAGAAGGGACACATACTTTACTTCGTCCAATATGTCGATTCCATCATCGAGTTGGATCGGTATTTGCATCATATCGATACTATCCAACTCAAGTTCCTTCTTATCATTTTCCTCATCTTCTTCTGTTTCAGGAGGCATGTCCTCATTCACTCCCGTAATTATCTCCGTTTTAATCTCGTCGTACTCCATATCTTCTACTTCTTTTTTAATCTCCGGTGCAGTTATTAAACACGACTTGCTACCTTTCGATGTGACTGGGCTCCTATAAAAACCATAAATATACACCATCGTCACGTTAGTAATCGTAAATACTTGTAGAGAATAAAATGAACGTACAATTTTTTTTTCGACATTTGATGCACTTCGTATGGGTCCACAGGTTCCGATTTAATCGGAGTCATCATCCTGTGATCCATGTCCAGTGCACTGGAATGCCTGTTGTCGTCCGTCGTATGAGAATAGTCGCTGTTGTCGCTTTCGTGTTTTATAGAATTCGAGTTTATTAATCTCGGCGCGGGCGGACAGAGCGGCGATTGTTCCATCTTTATTCGTTTCTTCGCAGGTGTGATACGCGTAGACGGGCCAATAGATAACTTGTGCTTCTGGCCAATTTGTGCTCTTTGAGTTAAATCCGCTAGGGCGATACCCTGCGTATTCAATTCTGGATGAATCTGAAACGACACAATATTTTCCATTAATAAAATTGAACTTGTTGTAATTTATAAAGAAGAACCAGTTACTCTACATACATCACGACGTGCTCTTCGTTTCTTATGCTCGAGAAGTATTTCGCGGTACATTTCCTCCGTCTGTTCACGGATGAAGAACGATCGGTTCGCGGGGAACTCGGCTCGTTGCAGCGTGGAGAAAACGGGACGAATCGTCTCATCGTCGAGGTTCATTTGTAGACCTCTAATGGATAAGCCCTGGAAGCCCATGAGTGAGCGCCTCTTCCTCTTCTGCTTAGCTCCAGAAACTTGATAGTAAGGATAGTTCTCTTCGTTCTCGGATGTGGTGTCGGCGGCCAGCTTCGCGCTCACCCCAAGCTCTGCCCTCAGCGCGTTCATTTCTTCCAAATAGCGCAGTTGCGTTTTTTCTTCAACTGTCGGTGCATTGCTTGTTAGTATTGTCCCTCGGAAGTTACTACATACTTCTCTGCCAAATGGCTGGAGCGTGGGGGAAGTATAAGCAGCCGGAAAACTGTTTACAATTATTCACAGCAATAGCCTAACTTACCCATAGCAGGCTTCGGTTTCCTCCAGTGGACTTTCGACAACGTCCTCTGCGCCGGCTGACAGAAACCTTGTTTATACGCGTTCGTTAGTAAGCTCTCTCTGGATTTTAGCAACTGACTGGCGAGCTCGTACGATCGCTTCCGTTCTTCGAAGAGCAATCGTCTTTGCTGCGCCTTTCGAACTAGGCTGCATATCCTCCTGATGTCCGGCCGGTAGTGACCGGCAGACAGGTGGCTATGAAACGATTCTAATGGTGCCACGTCGAATCTGAAAGAAACACAAACATATCCAGATGTCCAGCTATTAAATATTTATTTCAAGCAGATCAGTTTATCTTACCTGTGACTTTCATTATTGAATAACATGCGTAATGTCTTCTCTGTTTCTGCTTCTGCATCACAATCTTTTGGAAAGGTAGGTAGCAGATTACAGAGAGTCTCTCTTTGATTTTCTGTTAGGCATTCGTTCCAAATATGGGGATAATCCATAAACTCCTTGAAAAGTGCCTCATCTTCACAGAGATCTTGCGGTAGTTTTACCTTGGTATTTGCAACAATGCAAGTTTCCCACTTCTAAAAAATAAAATGTTTTATTGTATGATTGTCATTCTCTGTTTGCCTGTATAAAAAAAAAATATTAGTTGTACCAGTGTGTCTGGACTCTCTGCTTTAACAGAGTATTCCGTATTCTCATTTTCATCCTCATCTTCATCTCCAGAGCTATGACTATCACTTCCACTGGAACCATGTTCTTCTCCACTGTCATCTCCACTGTCACTTGATGTACTACTTCCACTAATGCTACTACTACTGCTATTACTTCTGGACGCATGAGATGAAGCATCATCTTCATCTTCTTCTGCTCCACTGTCTCCACCAGCTGAGCATTCATCGACCTACAAATATAAAGCATGTACTCACACATACATATGAACAATCTGACCTAAACATTATCTAATCAGTCATGCACATTGAGTGGCATATTTATAATATATTAGCGAAAAATGCAGTATCGTGTAACGCCGCGTCATAAGGAATAAAATGAATAAAAATACAGAGACAGAGTAAACACGATACAACATAAATATGTCACGAACACATGTATGAACGTTCACGAGTAATTATCCAATTAATCAATTATCAGGTTGTAACGATCGAAATTACGAATACCGGAGGAACAAGAGTCGACGTTATCATTTTTCGATGTAACATGACACAGGGTAGGCATCGTGCGTATCCACATACACAGTGCTATCGATCACGCGGATGCGTAATTTCGAAATAATTAATTGCGACCAACCTCCATTCTTTTCAGTTTCCCTGCGCTTGCTCTCCCCTTGTTCAGCGAGTTTTACTGCTCAGACAAGAACAGCAATTCTCCACCACCGACGATAATTCTTGTAATAGAGAAATTGAGTGCCGAGGAGAGATCTCGAAGCGTTTTTTCGATGCGGGAAATCCTCGTTTCGTATCGGACGAATATTAAGTAATCTCGCTATTAGCCGTTTGACCTGTCACTGCTACTGCACTCCTACTCTTCCAACAAATTTTAGTCATGGCGTGGAATACAGCAAACAGAACCACGGTGTTTGTATATTGAGGAATCTCGAGAGCGCGCACCTTCTTCACCGGTTTACAGCCACGGCCGTTCAATGGCGGAGATTTTAGGGCCAGTTCAAATGGTACTCAACATAACCATTGATAACACCGTTAAAAGCGACAAACACGATAACATATTACAAATTTTCAGCGTTAATATAATCGTATATTTTGTACATTTCTCTTTGAACGAAAAATAAAGCAAAGTTTCTTCTAAAATGAAACGAAAATTCGTCTAGTGATGTTTGTTTAACCTTCGCATTCGTTGGCACCTCTGAAAGAGAGCGTAATTCAATTTGAATTTAACATCAGACAGTTTTAGAGAATATTTAATATCAGTATTTATGTAAACCAACATTGTTAGTTATTCAACCCTCATCTGGCGAATTGCGGATCAAATAACGATGATCAGTGTAAGAGGTCTGGGTTAGGTTACTTGTTATTTGTATAGGTTACTTTGTTATTTCTACATTTTTGTTAATGTTATTATTCTATTATGTTAGACTGAAAATATGTAAGTACGTGCGTTTGTAAAAGTAGCACAACAAATACAACTACATATGTTAAATGCAGTTTTTTTATTTGCAAAGGGATGTCTTAGAAACATATGAAAATTCTAACAACTAAATATATTAATGAAATAAGGAGTCACCTGTATAAAATTTCAGAAAGACTTATTTTCGTTTTGAACGTATGTACGGTGACAAAGCTATACTGTATGAACAATCTACTGAATATGTTATACAGGATTTGAGCTACTTAAGTAGGTTGGTTTATACTACTGTCGCTTAAATTCTTACAAAACGCTTCTCTAAATACTAAATGGCAAACTTTCGACTTACAATATTATCATTTTAAAAACAATAATATTTTAATTAACATCATGTATCCAAACTACTTTGCGAAGGAACTTTATGCGTCATAGACATTTACATTTTTAAGTACTAATGGTGTCAGTTGTTTAGACAATACTGTTAGTAATGACTTCAGTCTTGTGATAACTTAAGTTATCGTTGTATACTGATGTATGTTAACGCAAAATTATCTAATTAAACGTAGATTATGCACAAAAACATGAAAATATCTTTCTATAATAGCGGTAATATATCTTACGTAAGATATATTCAGAGATAGGAACGTATGTGTCGTCGTACATTTATACATTTTGAGCTGAAGTATTCTGATTGATATTTTGCGCTAATCCGTTACAAGTTGCATCTGCAGCAATGGGCAATACTGGTGTATACTGCATATAATGCGGTTGTCCAGCAACTGCATACCAGTGGTCTAAGTTTTGAGGCGGTATACTATATGGGGCTGGTTGAGGACACACGTACGGAGGGCAGATGCCAGAATAAGGTTGCGCATAATCGATTCCAGGACACAAATGGGGTGAAAATGGTTGCATGTTGCTATTGTCGGGTATATCCGAATGTGGTAGACAAGGCATTTGAAAGAATCCAGGACTCGGAGGATAATAAGGATTAGTGAATGGTTCTGCTTCATTCCCGTAATAGGATAGTCCAGAATACATGCTATGTTGCATGTAAGACGTTTGATACGAGTTCACCGGAGCAGATGCGGAACCATGTACCTGTTGAGGTACTGTTCTTGAAAGCTGCAAACTTGTACTGTCACCCACCATCTCTTGTGGTCTTGAAGATTTTGAATTTGTTCCAGGGTGTGGGTACTGATTGCCTGATTGCGTAAATTGTTGGGCAGTACGATGTCGATCTGAAAAAGAAAACATTAAATACTTGTTAATTTGTAGAATCATACAGATGTTTTGTTTGCCAAACTTGGTAAAATGCTGCTGTTACATACTGTCAGAATTTTTCTTAAATCGCGGACCCAAGCCATTCCTACTTATACGAGAAGAGTCTCTGTTAACAAGCTCTTGTTCGCTTCCTTTCTCGCGTGGCGGATGTAATGAATTTTTTGCATCCTCTCCTCTTGGAACTTCTGTTCTTTGTAACTGTATGTCATTCGTGCCGTTTACGTATTTGTCCTCATTTTCTTGGCACACTAGCTGACTGTTATTTTCTTTACGGTCATTGTTATATTCTCGTTTAGGTTGCGTCAATGTGCAATTTTGCATTACACCGTTTGAAATGTTTATAACTTCATCCTCACCTTGCGGCATACCTTTTCAACAAATATATTCTCTGTTAAACGATGTAATAATACATATGTTTCGTTTAGATAAATTTTTAAGTTAATCCACCTTGGTACCATTGTCCAAGACCGGGAGATTCTGCGTTTGTCAAATAATTCCAATTATTGTTCCCGCGAAAATATTCTAATCCTAGGTTATAAAAAAATCTCAAAGTAAATGGATCTATAAGGAAAAAATACTGTATATAATATCATACGTAATATCGTATTAATATTAAATGTTTTTTACTTATACCTGATAGTGGCAAATCACTACCGTTTACATCAATGCTTTTCTGCACCGAACAATTAATAGAACGCAGGATATTATCCATTTGAGTTACAGAAACGGGTTCCCCTAAAAAATTATAAACTATTGATACAGTAATTGATCTACAAATCAGTCTCCAATTACATACCAGAATACGGTGAATAATAATTTTCATTTTGCGTTCTTTGTTTTGAATATGAGTTAAACCCAGTATTGTTCTCAGAGTTCATCGCAGTGTCAGATTTCGAAATTTTTACTGAATGATTTTCAGAGTTCTTATTTCCAAATGAATTTTTTTCTTTATGTCCTTTACCATTTTCCTGCCTGATAATATCCACTGCTGTAGACTGGGTATTATCAACATTCGTTCGTGTAGGAAACATTTCAGTAGAATTCTGTGAACAAAGATTTTTTATACAAGTGTCTATAACAAGTGGTTTTACAATTAAGGAATGATTCAACTTATACTAACTGAATAATTAGCACACTTGTCTAATGCATAATTTTCATATGTCTGTTGAGAATCAATTGTTCTATAACAAAAAGGAAATATTTTTTATTTACTTCCAGAGGAAAATATTTGTATATCAAAGACTCCTCGGTTAACGAGAAAAACACTTACAAAGTTTCGTCTTTCCACTGAATATTATTTTTATTGACATCATTAGTGTAATTATCATTGTTTCCATTTTTATCGATACTTCCCGATAAAATGTTCACATTGCTAACTGTCTGTTTAATCTTGCGTGAAACTGTGCCATACGTTTTTTTCCATTTCTGATCTAATAAAACACGAAGTAAGCTTTTTATAAGACAACGAATATATTCAAATAGTTTATATATATATTTTTTTAATTACTTACTTGTGTCTAAAAGTACATTCCTTTTGCACACTGGTAACCAGTTATTCTGTTTACTTTTTCTTAAAGGCAAAGGTTTAAGAGCAGAATATGGTACAACTTTTTTTTCACCCAATTCTTCAATGAATACTAATACAGGACCCTGATTTTTACCCATTTCTTGAATGTAGCCATAAAAGAACATAGAGTCCTGTTTCCCTTTTTTCTGTAATACTTTTGTGTCGTTACAATTAGCATCTTTTTCAAGAGAAGGCACATAAACATTGTTATTGTTAGCTCTGTCAAATTCTTCCTCATTAAAATCCATCTGAACTAAACATTTACCACCGACTTGTAATTCATGACTATTGTGCCTATTCCACCCAGCATTTTTCACCTCTAAACGATTGAAATAATAATTATCGTCTTGGATACAGTAGAGCAATTATATGGTATAATCAAAGTTTATTACCTCTCCTGATTTCCTGCCATATATCAAAATCAGTGTTACGATAAATGTTGGGATCAAGAGCTTTTGCTACTCTATAAGGAAAAGGTGGTATGTTTCTTACTATAGCTGGAGCATCGTCAACCTCATCATTTCCACTTTCCACTCTGGTATAGATTTCTGCAGCCAACTGACTGGATGGATGTAAATTGAATTTATATTATGATTTTAGCTGAATACTAATGGCACAAGTATTAATAGACTTACTCTCGTATCTCTATGTTGCCTTTAAGGAAAAACTTATCATGTCTGAAAGTAGCAGTTCGGTCATGTAACATTTTATGAACAGTATTTTCTATATTAGCCATGTGAAAAACATCTTTATAAAGCACTTGATAAACAATAGCTGTAAATCAATGTATAGACCATTATGTGATTACAATTACTTTGTTGTTTCAAAAAGAAAAAACATAAGTATATTAATACCTACATTGACAATAAGCAGCCGATGCAACAAAATCTGGTGTGTAAATGCTTTCGTACTGTTTTTGTGGGGTATGACACAAGTAAATTACATCTTTGAAACCATTGTTGGTAATAGTACGACTAATTTGTTTCTGACCATAAAATATAACAAATTCCCTTTTGTATAACAATGACATGGCTTGAATTTCATTTATACCACCCCATTCAGTATAACATGCCATTTGCTCCAAATAATCATCAAATGGAATAGTTATATTCTAAGGAAATAAGAGTTAACTGTGAAATGATTTATAAATTAATATCATTTAAAGTATGTTAATCTACCTCAGTGAATAAATGTTTCATTTTTTTCATAAATTCCACGCATTCTTCCCTGACTCTAATATGATAGTGCTGTGTCATATAAACTTGTTCACTGACTGCTCTGAACAAACAAGTAGGATCTCTGGGTGCATGTTTCCTAAAATACCCTTCACTTTGCAGCCATTCATCGACGGGTTCTTGAGCACGTTTTGACGGCTTCCTGGGCGATATTTCCATTTTATTTTACTAAAGCAAAGGATGAAAGGAAAAAAGTTTCAATCCGTGTTGGTTCGTTGATCGAAACAAAGACAATGTACAGATCGAGGAGAAATAATTCCAATATTTAGGTACTATTCTAATAATTTGAAGAAATAGAACCATTTTTTTTGCATCTTTCGTAACATAAACGTAAACATCGTAATATCACGACATTTAGGACAATTCGGGAGACATTCAGTAACAATTTAGGACGTTCGAAAAACACAAAAGGACATTGCTCTTTGTCGTTGATCAATAATTTGAAAATAAACAGAAAAAAAATATAATCAAATCTAATTCAATATAAATATACTAGTATACCTGTTCAAAAAGAATCTGTGGATGTGCCGAAAATCTTGTTTGAGCGAATATAGTCGGTGATAACGTTTTAAGATGTACAATTTAACAATTACTTTGCACTTGTGATAACAGCATGGCTACCAAAGGATTAGCAACAGGTCCTTCTTCGCGAGGTTGCTATTAGAATCGCTTTCCATAAGACTATTGGACGAAAACTACTCGTCGACCAATCGTGATCCGTTATTCTGTCACTTTCTGGATCGGTTCTCATCGGAAAAGGACATAACCACCACAAGCTAATAATATCGACGAGATGATGCTCCATTCATTTGTATTTTTGCGCGCCAGTTTAAATAACACGTTACCCGTACAGATTAGGAAACAGGTAGTGTTTCCCATGAAAGAATATTTCTTTCCATAAAACATATTTCTGTCTACGTTTTCTCATTGCTATGTAAATAAGCAAATAATTATGAATGACATCAAAATCGTTGATGATTAACCCGTTCCACAACCATATGGCCATCGATGGACCACGATCAATTTTTCATTCCAATTATTGGCAATTTATGTATTGAGTGAGTGAAAAAAGTATTTGCCTTGTTATCTACTGTAGGTCATCGATGGCCCACGCGGCGTGATCGGAAAGTTACACAAATGGTCTTGTCACGGAATGTGATGAAGAATGAAATAAAAAGTGTCTGGTCGTTACACATTCTCATACTTTTTTTTTTACAAATTACTTTTTTATTCGTCATAATTTTTATCAGAATGACAATGCGATGTGTACGAAATATTAAAAAAGTACAATAGCCCGTTATATAAAATATGATTTTTACACAAATATAAGATCAACCGCTGTACCATTGCGATATATCTGTAACGCATGCAATGCTACCCAATTTTGTTGCTATCGAAAATAACGTTCGTCTGGCGTGCAGAGCTTTTCTTAGTATAAAAAGTACATCCTTTGGCGAGTTAGTGTATAAAGACGGATGCTGATACAAGCCCAAGATCGCTGATACAAGCCAAAACTTCCGGGCCCGAACCCTCATCGTCCTTCCGTTGTTAATACAAATAGGTCCGTGTAAAAAATCGACTTGTACGTCTCGCCGAAAGGAACGCTCTTGGCGGTAGGATAAGTATAATCATAAGATTACATTAACACAGTGTTTCGCATTCTTCTTTTTCCTGTCGGCAATGTATGAGTAATTGTTATAAAATGTCATGATATAGAAAATGGAAGAAATGAGTCGCTGCTCCCTTTCTTTTCGGTTTTTTTTTCTTTGAATCACAAAAAGCTTGATTTAAGCAGCTATCTTTTCGGCGTCGATCGCTGAAACAAGTAATATCGTTCCATTTAATTGATTTTGATGCTCGATATTCTAATCCACACACTACAAAGGTGCTTCAAGTTTAGACTTACCTTCTTTGGTTGGCAAGGGATTTTTCTCGAGCGTTTCCGCGTGTTTCAATTTCGCCGGATCGAAATTTTCAATTCCAGAGATTAGTTGCTGTTTACCTTTCTCCTGCTGGATCACTGTGCAACAAAGACGCATATTTTCCGGTGAATTCGGATTCTCTCCGCATGAATAAGAATTAACAAAAGCAGAAACAGAAAATAGGATACCGTACCATCCTTGTCAGGTAGGGGATTTTTTTCTTGGGTCTCGGTGTGTTTTAGACTGGCGGGGTCAAATTTCTCGATGCCGGCGATCAGGGTTTGTTGAGTCTTTTCCGCGGCTACATCTACAAAACAATAAATTATTGTTAGAAACAAACGAAGATTCATAATTTTAAGTTCCCCATGTGTTTGACATACACCACCAAGATTCTAAAAAATAGCGAAGCTGTATCGTGTTGTTTATATTTAAAATATAGGCATAAACAACGTAAACTAATTCTACAATGTTTTGTAAGATATGAACATAAATTCAGCTACGAATTAAACACGTATATATAACTCGTTAATAGGATAAAACAAACAACTTAAGAACTGCTCATTATTCGTTCCCAAAATTATGCCCATATTTTGTGAATTATCCTTTATATGTATGTACTACGTGTCTAAGCGTCCGATGTTATACACCGTTTTTACGTGTTACTTCTTAGCAAAGAATGTTGAGGAAGCTGCATTGTGTTATTCTTGTGATATTTCGTAAACGTTTATCGCCAAAGCGGACGTAACATTGTGTTATTCTTGTCGACAGTACAGAGTACGCGACTAACAATCTCCCATGCAAAATGTAACCCTCCTGAGCTATCAGAAAGCGAAAGCAAGAAGGAGTGGTGTATGGATTGTTGGATAATCGTGTATGTTTACTCGCGCAATTTCGAATCACCAGAAGCAACAGACCCCTCCGTTACCGGTCGAAGAAACAGAAACCTGTCGATTGATACAATCGCTTTTGGTACATATACCTTTGGCGTTGGGTAAAATAATCTTCTCTTTCGTATCGGCGTGTTTCAATTGATCTGCCTTAAATGACTCCACACCGTGGATTAATTCTGAATGCTGTCGTTCTTGTCGTACATCTACATACAACACGTGTGGTTACGATATTTTCGATAAATAAATTAGATTTCTACTGACCTGCTGGCCACGAGACTATGGCATGATTTTAATTACGAGAAACACACTTGCGTGCGACAAAAGATTGTAAATTATACAGGGTAACTCAAAAGTAATGTCATAAAACTTTCAAGTGATGGGAATAGATTGATACAACTATTCATTTTTAAGATACTTACACTATAACAAAGTAAAACGGGAATTCAAATGCGAAGCAACGATTCTGTATCTTAAACACAAACACGATTTAAGGGCCCATTTACTACTTTCTCTTACAAGTTTCGTGACATTAGGTTTTCGAGACACTCCATGCAACATAAGTCTCTCGCGTGAAACATACCTTCGGCGGAGGGCAAAACGTTCTTTTCGGCGGTTGCAGCCTTCTTCATGCAGCCATGATTGAAACCCTCCAGTTCGCTTTTCAGGTCTAAGGCTACTTTTGGCAGATCCTTCAGCGACGGACTCGACATGGCGGCTGTGTTGTACTCTTTAATCTGGAACAAAGTGACAATTTTTATCGCTGATCAACACGTTCTTGTCGAACTGTTTCCTGTATAACCTCGACAAAATCATTCGTTAATAACTCGATCACTACCGAGAGACGACTCCTTAACGCATAACTACGCCTTTCTGATATTTTCCAATCGGCTCGCGACAAATGCTTTCTCGTGTACTTTGGCAACACGCGAGTACGTTCTCTCTGCTACGAAACACAGCAGCCGGGGACCCCGGGGAACGAGAGAGTACGCGGCGAAAGAATTTCCAAGCACAGAAGTGACATCAACTGCTCGAACCGTACAATCTGAAATTAACCGTCGAGGTTTTTTTTTTCGCGCGGACGTGATACGTAACTGTTTACCGCGGCCAGGGGTAACGCGTGGCAACCGCAGGGAATTGATAAAACGACACGGATTGTTCCTTTTTCGCGTGCCGGTTATTCCGTGTATCGTCAATTCCCATTGAAGACAATTTTACCGGGTTGAGCACGACACCTTGCGATTTTCCTCGTAAAGACAGCGAGCGCACACGCGTCACAATGGCCCCGACGACGGATGACACGTAGCTATCGGAAATAACAAAACGTGCACCAACGGTGTCAGCGAACGCATCGGTTCATTGTTATCGTGTTACCGGGAACGGAGCAAGGTTGTCTGTTAATGTTAAAGTTTATGTGTACGGCCTATCGGCACGTATTTATCGACAGAGAACGACTTTTCAAGCAGATTATCGGCAGAAACGTCGGTGCATGTCGACGAATTGTGTCGTACAGCAGATTCAACGTGTGGGCCACACGGCCCAGATAGCACATAACGCCTTGAAGACGTCCATTTTACGGCTGTTTTAGGTCTAAGACGCCTTTAAGCAGTCTTCAAGGCGTCATGTGCTATCCGGGGGTGTGGCACCTCGAAATAATATTCGAAACAATGGAGACCGTGTTACTCGATTTTTTTCTCTTTCCACAAAGGAGGAAAACCGACCAGGTCCGTTTCATTCCTACTGCGAGATGCAGGCTGAACGAAACCTTAGGCGCCATAAATTCCGGACGAATAACGGAACCGCTTTCTGGCGAATGCAAACGCCAAGCGTTGTTCGTTCCAGTGTTTCCGGTCTTCCCCGTTTTCTTTTGCAGAAACTAACGGATTTTCGAATCGCCTTGAAGCGCGCATGCTTTTTTCCCTCCTGCTTCGTTATAACGAACTGTGACGTACCGGTTCAAGTCCGACATGCTCCGACGGATTTCGACTTGACTAAAAAAGAAAAGATAAAAAAAACAACGAATTATTATTCGAGTTCAACGAAAGTTCTCCTCGTTAGATTCGGCCCGGGGAATGAATCAGCACGCTCGAGGCTTTTCTTTATCTCTGAATCTCGCTGCTACGTACTGCTAAGTAATGCGTTACGAAGCGGAAGCCGTAGAAGCTCGGCACTTCCGGTCTCCGATTCCTTCCATTTCGTTTTTTGTCACACATTCTTCGCGCGTAATCTCCCACCGAAACGTTCGCAGTTTTACGCAGTGGGGGGATTTTCTTCAAGGTCAAACTATCCGAATGGCGTATAGACGGAGAAAGAAAACGGTCAAACTTTTTCCTTTTTTTTCTTTTTAACAGACTACACGCGCGCGTCCGCGATAGCATTCGTTGACAGAAACTGCGACGTGAAATAAACTTCCTCTCCGATATAAAGTCAAGAAAAAAATAAAATAAAATAAAAAGAATAATTGGTAGTCTTCGCACGTCCAGTGACTCGAGAGACTCGTCGTATGTTCCTATATTGAATCCGGTACTCGCGGTACTTTAGCGCTTTACGGTTGTTAGGCCAGGGATGCGCAATCATCGACGAGCATTTTTGCGATTGTTCGAAGCAAAATGAACGTGCAAAACGAATTCCGCTCGGTGTATGCGCGGGGAAAAAAGTAAAGAAAAAAAATAGTATACACAAGTGTTTTCAAATACGTACAAGAACGATGATAAGAGTCACGGAAGGACACGTAATTAAAAAAGTTTGTGAACCACTGGAACACACACAGTGACTCATACCCGTCGAGACCTCCCCCCTCTTCCATTTCTTTATCCCGTTTTCTCTGCCTCGCTTTTTCCTCTATTTATGTCCTTTGTATATTCGTTTACTTTTAGCATCTAGACTAGACGATTATTTTTACGGAATCAAATATATATATATATATATATATATATGAAAGGCGCAAGAAGGAGCCGGGGTCCACCCATCTGCATTCCAAGAGGGTCAAGTCATCGATGAAAAATCGCGTTATCGTTCATCAGCAGTACTTATCCTTGCGTCGACTTGTCGTTAGTCAATTGAATTTTCCCTAGAAATCAAACACACACGTAACGAATCAGCACATCGATAATTCCCTCGATCCTACAGGTTATCTAGGTTAGGTTCAATACTGTTACATACGCACACACACAATTATATAAAACTTTTATCTTCGATGCACCGTAATTTTCTAAGCGTAACCAAAATCGTATTTTTACCATTCCGTTCGGATAGTCGGGTGAACGAACGTGACCGTCCACGGTGTCGAATTACACACGCGGGGACTTCGTTAAAATACCGACACGCGTGCATTCGGAGTTCCATCAGTTTCGTTCGTCGAAAAAAATTCCGCTTAGGGGAACGACGGTTGCTGAAAATTTCATCCGTGCAGATAGGTACGATCCTCAGGCTGGTGGGTAAGGAAAACCGCGATTGGCGGCGAGCAAATTGCGAGTTCGAAGTCCAGGACCGAGAGCCAAATGAGTGTACCAACACACCACCGAAGCGGTGGGCTCCAGGAGAGCGCGTTTCGAGGGATACATGTTTCTCCGACGGTGGGTCAGCATCGACAAGGCTGTGTATAGGTCCTTATATGGTAGCCGGTCGTATGGCTGTATATAGAGAGAGCTCGAAAGAGGCCGAATACGCAACCGTCGAGCACAAGCTCGCGCGTCCTTTACGTGTCCGGCTCGTAGAATATTTCTCTTCTCTCCCGTGTCCTCTCGGCACGGTTGCGTGTAGGAGTCTCTCTTGTGCATCGAGTGTACACACCTATAGGAGGAGGGGGGCACGTATTATACACGGATACACCGCGTAACGGTAACAAAACGAAGAGGAGATACCTCTCGATTAGCTTGGTGGTACGGTTAGCACGCTCGGATGAAACGCCGTGGTACACGCGAATCGAATGTAACGATGCGATTCGATTAGTCTTTTTAAGGCTACCGTGCGTGGTCTCGACCTCCATCGCCGTTTCTAACGCGTCCTTGATTACGCCCGGCGAGAAGCAACGAATTTGACCGCGAAATATGTATGTACACTTAGAAATGCCATCGTCTGTGTCGCGACAGTGGTCGAATAAACGCTGCTTTCGATCCTTATTACTCCCCCCGTTTCGTATACTCGTTGTAGCATCATATTGCAGGTCCGTAATATTTCTTAGTATTCTTTGTTTCGTTGGCAATAAATATCGATGTATCGGCGGTTTTGCGATTCGTGTATACATCTTGAGAGCCGCGGAATTTCACGGCGCGTTTACAAGCGTTAAGTCGGTCGATTTCACAGGAGCCAGAAAACCGTGGTTCGTTCTGTGACGTATCTCGCCGGATTATCGAAGGCGAACAGAGGGAGGGGGAGGAGGAGAAATGAAAATGCTCGGATATGGTGCCCACGGTTGTCTGGTGAAATCACGATAAATTCTACACGATCTCGCGACGAGAAAAGAGGGCCGAGAGTTAATAAGGAAACTAGGTTGGCCGTGCGCACCGACTCGCTAGCCGGTTTGCGGGACGCGTCGGTGTAAGTACACGGCTGCTTCGATGGGCCTGTACTCATCGCGCAACAGTCCCAACACGTCGCGGTGGGAGATTCACGTTTCACTGGTCGCCATGGAATCCACAAAAGTCAACCATAAAACCGACTCCGTTCATGCGGAATTTTAATGTCATGTGTATATGTGTTGAGTGTGATCGCTCGACCGTAGAGAATCGAGATCAAGCTCGTCTGCTATCGAAATGACGATGGTAAAGGAACGACAAACATATATTTCATACTCTATATAGTTGTCTATAAAGATAAGACATAACGTTTCCGATATTCTATGACATATATCTGATCATTTGAAACCTGGCGTAGGATACGAACATCTAGAATAAAGATCGCCCACTCTCTTTCAAACCAACAGGCTCCTGCGATACTAGGTTATGTTACCATCGGCGAAGATTATCGTCTACTACGTTTAAATAATTCGCGCGTAACCAGACACCACGATGAACGATCAGCTGAAGAAGCGAGCACGTTTGTTTGCACGATACAATTCGGACAACCAGCTGTCCGAGGTTGTTCGATCTCGAACATGTATCCCGGCGCAGCCGGTCGATACATCGGCCGGCAATCAACCGAGGGTTTTCGTCGAACATTGTCGTGGGTTCCCGACATAGAGGGGGAAAGGAGAAAGCGAGAAAAAGAGAGAGAGAGAGAGATATCTTACGGCTGACGGTTAACGAGTTCGCGCGGGCTGCCAATTAACTTGGAGTAATCGCGTTTAACGGAGGGCCTCGGATCGAGTATGCAGGCGGTTCCGAGGCGGCCGGTCGGCGCGTGTATCGACCGGTGGGTTGCACTCTGGGCCCACCTACGCGCGCCTAATACCCACATAAAATCATGCAGCATGCGCCTAGAAAATGCGTTTCGACGACGATGACGACAACGACGACGATTTCACGTCGCGTTCGCGCCCGAGGCGAACGCGCTCGCGATATGGCCGCCCTCTATCTCCTTCCCTCCCTTGTTGCTCATTCTCTTGCTCACTGCTCGGTACGACCGTGACGGCTAACGAACCCTGGACGCGCGCGTATCTCGTATCGAGCGGTGGCGCGAATGTTCAGGGGCGTATTACGTGTTACCAAGCGGCTCATCCGCGCCGTGGACCTCGACAGACGGTTTTTTTCTTATTTGTGACCGCGTTCCAGTCGCAGCTGCGATTTCACAGAACTCGCATAGCGTATACCTACGCGTGGAACGTGCACGGATCGTTTGAGCACAAGGAGGGCTGTTTGCGCGTCCAGAGAAGCTGAATAATCCGGCACCAAATCCAATTTGGTAGATGAAAGCGCGGCGCACGATAAATCATGCACGGAGCTTGCGTTGCCATTGGGCATAGCAAAGAGAGTTCCCCTCCCCCCCTTCAGCGGTTAAGATTTCGTGAACGAGTACGCCAACGAAGGTACACGCTCCCTTGAATGAACCTCTGTAGGGAACCCTTTGACCCAATCTCGTAGATTGTAGATTACTCTCGTCATTAAGCTTCTGCACGACGAGCAGCATCCTGACCGCGCGACACTTGACGGCAAATAGGGGGTGCGGTACAGTCCCGTCCAAAAGTTACACGGATGTTCAGCCGTGTTTGGTAACTCCTAAATCCTCGTAATCCTATATTTCCATAATGAGTCACGACTCTGACGGAACGTTATGCCTCATTCGTGGATCGGATCGACCATCGAAATGCGTGCTACGAGTATCACGAAACGAGTGTACAGATTTCTGTTCGTAACCCTGAATGAAATAGATGCGCGAGTGTGCGTCCGTACGTGAGGGGTTTCACAGGGAAGAGGTCGACGGGTGGCAGACGGTTTCATCGATTGGCAATGCGGGGGTCGAAGAGTGGGGTTCATGAACTCCACGGCTATCTATATCCTTCTATATGTATTGTATACACACCCACGTAACGTGACGACCACGATTTTTCATGGTCATGGGTAAAAGGGCCATTTTTACTGATGTGGGGCTAATTTTTCGATCTGCAATATTTCCTTCGATCCTCGCACGGACACTGGATCGATCCAATAACGTAGATTCTATGACAATTTTCTCGACGCAGTAAATAGAATTCGTAGAGTACTTATTCGAAAGACCTTCTCGTTCGCCTTGAAGCAAGCCAACTCGTTCGAGACATGATAAGATGCAAATACTTCGAGACTCTCCCTCGTGAAAGACACGGCGCATAAAAATGCGTACATTTAATTACGGAATAAATGTTGTTTACGTTTCAATGATATCGTCGCATGTTTTTATGGAAATTATTCTAAATAGGACTGGAACTTTTAAGCAGATTGATTTCTAAGTAAAATCATTACCAAAAAAGCATCGAAGAACGGAAAATTATGAAAGCGAGAGATGAAAAACATTCAAACAATGATGGGGGATACGATTGTACTCGTCACTCGGCAACCAGAAACGCATTTGCGTGGCTGATGCGCAGCGAAGTGCATCTGTCAAAACCACGCCCTTGTCCCATCCTATCGCCCTAACGAAGTACACATAGAAACTCGGCCGGTAAGTACATGGCTACCCGAAATTTTACAAAACGTGCCTCTTTCCTTTCGAATTACTCCACTTTTCCAATTCATCGAAACGTATGCACGAATATTTCATTATATCTTGCCATTGCAATTTCCAGTTATATTAGATCTATTGGTTTACCAAACGTACTAAAATTTGATCACTTTTTCGAAGCAGTAGGGACAGCAGGAACAGCGACAATGCTTGTCAGTTTCGCGAGAAATTCCATTTTGTTTCACGGATGACGATACTGATCGAACATTACAAACATTACAATGCGTAAGTTTTTAATGTAGTATGTACTTTATTCTTACTCTAATAAAATTCAATTTTTTTAAGATCAGTTTGCAAAGTGAGAATCTGCATAAACATTCGCAGTGCACACATTGAAAAATCTGTCGATTTTTGAGATACACAAAACGAGTACAAAAGATTTGACCACACCCCACTAGTTTTGATCATTGAATTACATAGTCGATCAATATCGAGCGATAACCATGTCGTTAAACCTACGATCGCCAAAAAAAAAATGTTTAGCAAACGAAGAGTCGATAACAAACGTCTTGATAAAATGTTCGCGATGTTGAAAACACATATACGGCACACGCGCATACACAGCGGGATCCCACCGGCTTTCTTCGTGCGTTACGAAGAAAGCCGGTCGCGTGTGTTACCGGCGAAACGTTCACTCGAGGAAAGTTAATCCATTGCATGCAATCTCTAGCAACGAGATAGAATGAATCGCGTCGAAGATCACTGACCTGTCAGTTGACACTATGGGACGTAGGCAAGCGCAAGGAACTCCGTCCAGCCGAGTGTTCAAGGGCAGGAAGGAGACAGTATACTGACTGACCGGCTAGTAATTCTGTGGAACGTAACACCAGGTAACACCGGCGAACCACTCTTCCACTCTTCCCTCTGTCGATCCTACGCTCGCACTGTTCCGTCCCCACCATAATTCCGACCCCGAACTTCAACCAATCGCAATACATCGCTTGTCTCTCCCCCACTGTCGGATTTCTCCTACCATGTTCCAAATGTTTCCTCCAATCGTCTCCTTGACCGTCGTCATCGGAGGGTAGCTGACTCACCCTTCACGACAGACATAATTTCACATTCGTTGCACGAAAAAGAAATCCTTGCGTTAAACAACCTTTTTACAGAACTTCTCCGGCTATTGGACTATATTTGTACGATTCTAGATACGCATTTGGAAAAACGGCGTTAGGGGTCTGGCGTTTTGGACGGAAATGCTGCGGTTATTTTTAATAGTCAGGCAGAGGGAGGCCTAAGGGACGCTTTGGGGTGGACGAGTTTGAATGATTCATCGCGTAGTTATCCCAGCTGCGCGTCATATGGTAGTTCGGTTGGGTGTTTCCAGCACTTTGAAATCATGTGGTCCGCCCGAATATATCGATCAGCTTAGAGGGGAGATCGAGGAGGGATAGGATCGTACACTTTTCGGAAATATCCAAGATACTAGGTAGCTTGTGAGAAGGGTTTACACAAAGCAATCGATCTGCAACTTAACCTTTTGTATCCTAAGTAAATGATGCCAGAGTAGTTTTCTACGGGTCTTACATGAAATAAGTATTTTTCTTTGATAAAGTCTGAAAAACTAAGCTCTGTAACTGTGCTTTGCTAGGTAATAAATAGAGTCCTCATAGTAGAGAATAAAACGTCCTCTCTATACAGGCATCTAGCGCCACCAGGTTGGGACTGAAAGCATTAACATGTTACCTTCTTTATCAACAGACAAAATTTAAATCGTTTTTTACTTTCACCACTTTTACATACTGATATATGTAATGTACTGGAAATGTATTTTGTCGGTAATTTCAACTACGGCCAAAATACACATAATCGAAGTTCATAAATGAAATAATCGTTTATGTAAGAAATTATATATTTAGGGCATAGTTATGTTATACGTAGAGATTACGTGTTTAACAACATCGCATGTGAAACTTATAAAAAAATGTTTTTATTCCTTTTGCATTCGTTATGTCCATGTTAAGATTTCACTCCTTCTGCAGTATAAAAAAAAGGGAATGGAAATGGCCTTTTTACATCCTGTACAAATTATCAGACATTCGTTTTTCATAAGTTGTGTAGTCGTTATCATTGAAAAGTATTTTGTTCTTCATCTGGAGCTATTGTACATTCGATACCTTCTTGAGTAACAAACACGTTTTGCGCTTTGGATGCTAGATTTGCCTGTAATAATAAAATTGGAGTAATTAATACAAATTTAGCTGTCTACATACTGCAATAAGTGCAAATACAGTACACGTACCTGTGACATTGTAGTAGTAGTGGAGTGATTACTACTTGACATACAAACTACTACTAATTTAGTGCCACTGCTTTGTAGGTGTGCCTTTTGTTGGACAACATTCGTTTGAGAAATTTTAACTTGTTGCTGCGACTGTTGTTGTAGTTGTGTCTGAGGTGTTTGTTGTTGTTGCGGTGGTTGTATTGCACAAGTTGCGGTTGGTGTTTGCGATCGTGATTGCAAAATCACGAATTTTTGTCCACCACCAGTACTACTTCCACCTGGGGTTCTACTTGTACCCAGCATTATTGCACGTCCAGTTTGTTGTCCCGGGCTAGAGCTCGCCACTTAAATAGAAAATTAAAAAAAAAATGAAAATTCTATACAATGATGTACACAATATCATCTCACGGAAAACAAAATTACCAGTTTGCATGATAGCTTTTCCAGAACATGTTGGACCTTGTTGACTCGTCGTTAAAGCCGTTGTTGTGGAGGCAGTTGTTGCCAACGTCGCTGGCTGTGTACGAGCCTTCGCAACTGCTGCACATAACGCAGGACCTATATAACCGTAATCTTGTTTGTAATCCTCCACATAATCCGGCGGTGACCGTATAGTTTTTAAAATAGGAGCGACTGATTTCTGTAAAGTATATTACATCTTCATTTTAATCTGTACGCTGTAACTCAGTGAAACTTTAATAAAACCAATGTATGATTTACCACAAGCAGGGTTTTTATGTGACCCGCTCCGTTTTTATCCACACTCGATAAACCCGGTCCTTCGATACATGATTCTATACGTTCAGAAATGGATTTAATTTTCGGGATAACCAACGCTTTTATTACTTCCGGACCCAGCTCGCATAATCCCTCAATTGCACCGTACAGAGACGCTAACGGGGTCTAGAAAGTAATTTACTATTTATTACTGTTGTTCACCTTCAGGTATACAACGCGTTATAATTTTATCGCTATACCTGACTATTTTTAGCGAGTGCTTGACTAAACATTCTGGTTACTCTGGTTTGTACATTGTTCGTAGACGTGTTAAAATTTTTGCATATCTGAGCCATTAAGCGTGAAGCGAAATCACGCAGAGCCCAGTGATTGTCTACTTCCGGTCTCATACACAACTGCCGTGAAACTATACAAGTTGCAATAGACGGTATCAGTTCGTGTAACTACAAGGAAAATATTGAATTAACACTGACGTTGTTTGCCTGCAGGTTTCTTAAGCCTTACATGGAACAGGTACAAGAATGCATACATATTTCTCTAAATAAAGGCTCGGATTGTCCAGAAGAGCTTTAACCATACGCATGAGATATATTAGAAGAGCAAGATGATTCTGTACAACGTTCACACGAACACCTTCGGCGATGAAGGTACACATGCGTGCCAGCATTTCATGTAAGCCGGGATCGGCGGACAGAGATTGAAGTGCCTCTGCTCTACGGGCCTCATCTGAGCCGACGCATGCTTCCGTAATTTCTTTGTAATATAGTTGCTGTTCGACACTCAGCTCATGAGTTGCTAATTGTTTCACATGAACAGTTTCCACGTTACGTAACTTTTGACTCTTGCCTCCACCTCCTGGTTTTCCAACACCAATATTTTGACTCTTATTTGAGAGTTTACTTGTCGGATCGACGCTCTCCAACTTCTGAACATCTGCAAAGCAATCAGTAAAAATCTTAGTACCAATGAAAAGTTGCTGTTTATATTACAATTCAAGCTCATTACCTTTAGAGACTGGAGGTGGATTTTCTGGAATGGTGGGTTGAACACCATCTATACAGAGCCAATGGGCACGTAACGTAATTTCTAGAGGCAGCTTTGGCCATGATTGCCCACCGGACATTGATATAACTTCATTCAGATCAATTTCTTTTTCTTCTACAAAATGTAATTCTCTACCACCACCAGAAGCAAACCGGAATGGTACATGGTCCTTAGCAAAAAATCCATATGTTGGTTCAATATTTTTAATTTTCAGAGCATAATCTATATCATGAGTTGTCATACGTTGGCGTTTACCATGTCTCATAAATTTAGCAGCATCCTAGAAGTAAAATTTTTAAATTAAAAAGCCAATTTCAGACTAATGGCATCAAAGTATAAGACTGTTTATAGATCAAACATAAACAAACCTGAATAATTTCTTTGAGCCTGTAGCTTACATCTTCAGCAAGATCTTTAGCAGCTTCATCAGGAAAATTTCCAACACCTATACTCTCTGCAATTACCTTTACTGATTCCTGAGACAATGTAGTCCCATAAACAGATTCACTTTCATTCATTTTTAGGCTGTATTGGTCATCACAGTCCATACGACACAACGTTAAACGTTTATTCCTTATAACTGTACCTGTAGGTTTACTACAGCAATGTGCCTGACACCATGTAAATTACAAATTTTACACAAGTGTTACAGACTTCATTGTTGCCTTAATTTTAAGTACCCAAATAGGTACAGCAGTCGACTTTTGACAGTACAGAGCATAAGGATCAAATTGCTTTATAATTCAATTTAGAAGTTCATCGTCTTATCGAATAATGCACAATATATTACTGTTTTAAACTGCTATTGCACTTCCTGAAACGCTAACCTCGAAATGGACACTACAACAGAGTACTCTGTTCAGCAAACATTGTAACTGAACAATATTTTGACTATTTTGACACACCAATCGGTAATTGTCATTCCCAAGGGATCTGTAATACCGGCATCGAGATTGATCGAAACGAATACAATTTCTCGCTATGTATTCTTCGGTCATCTAGTAATAAAAAATTTGTACTATTTGCTACTACCTTCCGTACTTTGTGGTAGATGGCGTTATACGTGTTTTCTACTATTTTGTCATCTCATACTATGATAGCATGGTCATGTCATCTCATAGCAGAAGTATGCAACTATTTGGTTAACAACTTGGCCATTTTTTCATAGATACCGCCACGGGTGTTTCGATTACTTTTCTAATACTTCTGAAATAAGTAAACAATAATTAAAACCGCTAGATACAAAATTATTAATGCATAATATTGCTTCAGATTCTTCCAAAAAATATTTCTACATCATTGGATAACACCACTATTCAATAACACAGCCTATGTACAAAGATTCTCATTCAGTTTGGTAATTCTTGCTCCGTCAAAGTTTTTAGTGGACAACTAATTCAACCGTTAATGTTCATACATAATACACATAACTACAACTTAAGTTCAATCTTTCAGTAATATTTAAAAATGTCTCAGGTGTCATTGAGGAAATTACGAGAATGAATTATCATTTGTGGCCCCTTAACGGGAGTTCTATAAGGTGTCGCCACAGTCGTACAAAGTTTTATTCTTGCTTCGTCTATCACATGAAACATTCAGTCTTTTGTCCTCGTCAGGGAAAAGCTGACGTTCCGTGAAATTTCAAGGGGCACGTCGTCCAATAGGAAGTGTCGACGAAATTTACGCACAGAAATATCACTGACGTGTCCACGAAAAGGGGACTACATCGAGGGTTCATGATTATTCTCGTTTTATATAAGAGGAAAACAACAGTGTTCGACGGTTCACGTTAATCGACAGTTGTGACCAGTGTGATCTTGCTACGAAATTATGGCAGCGTTATTAAATACTTTCGTCAATTCTTTCACTAACAGACTGTAAGTACATTTTCTCAACGTCTTAAAGTAATCTATCAAGCTCACGTCCGAATAACGACATCGCTGATAACGGTATCGCGTTATTGTCGCTCCATTGTGAATCCATTTTACCAGTGCTTTTAATTATTTTATCATTATGCTAGTATTTCCGAAACTCGATGGTCATGGTGATGTAACTCGTATGCGCTATAACGTTTCGTATTTGTCAGAAAAAATATATATATATGACCTTCCCGATCCTGTTTCGAATTATATGAATTATCATGATATGCTTTTTTCTTTAATTGCGTTGTTAGGACACCGTGCGACCTTCGAATGTGCACGTAGTTTCCAGAACTTCGTTAGGTTGAATTTTTCATGTGTTGAAACTTTTTCCCTTGCGAGCACAGTCACCGTGATCTGCGTCACGAATACATCAAATACAATCGACATTTTCGAACTACAGGGTGTTGTAAATATGAATCGAAATATTTTAAATATCCCTTAAAATATGAACTCACCTTATACTTGGGACCTGCTGTATTCATATCGTTATACGATCTTCGAAATTACGTGCTAACTTTCTTTTTTATTTATCTCTGATTCTAATCTCAACCTCCAGGCTGTTCCATTTTCTTTACAAGATATCACAAAACAGTCAACTACCTCTTAGATAACAATTGTTTGATATGTTTGCAGCGAAGCACCGGTCAGACAACATCTAAAAAATGTTTACGGCTGTCTGTCCCTGTCAATGGTTTCGGCCGCTGCAGGGTCTTACATCCACCTGTACACAGAACTTCTGCAGGCTAACATGCTGACCACCCTTGGCACATTCGGTCTATTGCTGGCTTTAATCAGTACACCAGACAATGGAAAAAATCAGAAATTGCGGCTCAGCTACCTCCTGGGCTTTGCACTTCTATCTGGACTCGGATTAGGTCCCCTGTTCCAAATGATTATAGCTATCAATCCAAGCATCATAGTATCTGCATTAATAGGTGAGCTATGAGGGGTATTACTGCAATTCTTGATGTTGCTAATTATATATATGAATGTTAAGTACTATTATTGCACATTTTGATGTCACATTATGAAACAATATGTATCTATCTAATATATATGTATATAGAGGGTGTCCTGTAACTGGTGGTACAACCGGGTAAAGGGTGATTCTACGTGAAAAAATAAGTCGAAAACATGAAAGAACATTTTTTCACTTGAGACTGTTTTCGAGAAAATCGAATTTAAAAAACTGCTGAATACGTGTGCGATTGAATAAGACTTGACTAACGCGTCTGTTCATTGCATTCAGTTTCTACTCACTGCCATGACGAATACACGCATTATAAATGAATCGTCAAATTCGATTTTCTCAAAAACTAAGCCTCGAATGAAAAAATGTTATTCTGTATTTTCGATTTATTTTTTCGCGTAGAATCACCCTATATCCGGTTGTACCACCAGTTACGGGACACCCTGTATATATGTATACTTATTTTTGAGACCAGTACATACAAGTTATTTCTGTCTAATCCAGATGTAAACATTGTTTTAAATATTATGAAAAAATATCTTTAATTTTCTAGGAACAACTGTTGTATTTGTATCGTTCAGTATCTCCTCCCTTTTGGCTGAACGAGGACGTTGGTTGTATCTTGGCGGCACTCTACTTAGCTTGCTGAATACTATGGTCCTGTTCTCATTCATAAATCTCTTTGTCCGTTGGTCCTTCTTCTACCAAGCCCACTTATATGTTGGATTATTTTTGATGTGCGGCTTTGTGATTTACGACACTCAGCTAATCATCGAAAAGTTCCACATGGGTAGCAAAGATTTCATTTTGCACTCCTTGGATCTTTTCATAGACTTTATTGCAATTTTCCGTCATCTTCTCATCATCCTTACACAAAAGGTAAAAAAGAAAAACGGAAACCATATAACAAGTATTATCATAAATCACGAAGCCTGTTTATATACGTTGATTTGTTTTACAGGAATTGGCAAAAGAGAAGCGAAAACGTGACTAAGCGGGAGGGAGGAGAAAATCTGTAAAATATCATACCATTCAAGTAAATCCATAAACTAGTTGGTCTTCATCTAATCTATCCATATGTAAGACATATATATTTACTACGATAAAATAAATCTAAAGTAATACAGCTTATTGATTACATCAAGAAATTTTTAGGCGTGCGTTTGCCGTAAAAACGCAGTTGTATTTATTTTGGATTAGGTACTTAGTTGGTCCACTTTTTTTTTTTCAATTATCTATTTACCTGCTAGATTTATATACGTGTATACATACATAGATATAAATTTATTGTACTATATTTTTATCTTTCAATAAACAAAATTTCCCAGCGTTTCGGGGCATTTTTTAATTAAGCGGGTGGTAATTGCGAACACATTGTAAAAGATAAGAACACAGAGACGTAGGATGGGGGCGAGAGTCTTATTTATTAAAACGTAACTTTACACGTACGATTATATATCATCATTTACATGCGCATATATAAAACACAAAGTACGCGTCCACGCATCGATCTTCATGAATATAAAAAATGTACGAAGAAACAAATCGATGATAATGGAGTTGTAACACATGAGTTCTGTGTTAGGGCGAATAATGTACATCACGTCGAAACTGTGTACAAAATGTGTACAGTATGTCTGATAAGTGATTTTGAATAATCACTGTCACGGTATTCTTAATACGGACGTTGACGATCTCTGTCTCTATCTCCTCGTCTGAAACAAAACATAAAATTAATACCAAACTATTACTCTCTTTGTGCACAATACAGTGTACTCTCGCGAGCAAACTCGGCTTCCTCTGGAGGGGAAAAGTGGCGCAAGGATAAGGGCTATTGCTTAATAAATTGATTTCAAATACTAAAACAGATGTTAAAACCGAATGTTAATTGGGCATAAGTTTCAGTAATTCCAAAACAAAATGGTAGGAGGCCCTTCTCTTAGATCGCTTTTTCCTGAAAATAGTTACTAAGTATTACTTTATTCTGAACCTAACAGCTCGTAATAAATTTCTGCTTATCTCCCTAAGTATGTTGATTAACGCGAACAATCTATTAATAATTCGGAAGTTATATTGTTTCATGCCCAGTGGACCAATGACAACCCATGTGACGTAACCGGAAAGTCCCGCGAGAAAGCCTGGGCACGGAACGTGTTAAAAAGTATTATAGGTACTAACCCGCCACCTCCTCTCATTGGTCCACCGCGACCGCCTCGTCCTCCCCTGTCTCCGCCACGGAATCCACCTCTTCCGCCCCTGTCGCCACCACGACCTCCTCTATCACTTCGGAAGCCTCCACGACCACCTCTGTCGCCACCGCGGTTGCCTCTTCCGCCTCCGCCACCACCGCCACCGCCGCCGCCACCACCACCGCCACCGGCACCTTCTGGTTTCAGACTTTTACAGAGATTACACTGATCTCTCCAAGCAAAATTAGTGTTACCGCACTCAGGATTGGGACACCTATTCACGTACAGAAAGAACATAAGGTAAAAACGATATTCTAGCAAGGTTATCACACAAGTCGAAGTGTTTTTTTTTCTCTATATCATCGGTGCGTTGCAGAATAAGTAATGATATAGTCATGTAGTTACCTCCAATCTCCTCCACGACCACCTCCATCGCGTCGATCATCACCACCGCCACGGTGATGGTCTTCCCTATCGCCACCACCCCCACGACCGCCAAAGCCGCCACCGCCACCACCTCCTCGACCTCGGCCACCACCGCCTCCGCCGCCGCCACTACCACCGCGGGTTCCGCCAGTACGGTTACCTTGCCAATTACTTTTATGCTGGGCTATTTGTACTTTTATAGTACGCCCCTTGAATTCTTTCCCATCGAACCAGTCTATCGCTGAACGTGCGGCATTCTGATCATCGTAAGTTACGGTGGCTTCGCCTTTCGATTTACCCGTATTTTTGTCTTTGTACATCCACACTTTGGGCTTGCCAGTCCGCTTATCATGCTACACATAAAACATCGAACGATCGTATTATCTTCTGTATTATCTTGGATAGAAAATACTTGTAGATAAGTTTACTCACTTTGATTATACCAATAGCTCCAAAGTGTTGACAGATTTCTTCCTCCGAGATCGCTGGATCCATACCAGATACAAATATAGTATCTTCTTGCGTAACCATTCCATCGTTGCCACCACCACCACGGTCACCGTAGCCCCCTGTAATATGATAGGAATTAAGAACTGATCTGGTACCGCACCTGTCGTAGTAGGAATAATACTTGCAAATCTACTGTCCCTAAACCTACTCGAGTCTAAGCTAACAAGTGGAAAACTTTTGTGTCGGGTTGAAAACAGCAAAATATTTGTACCTTGGGCGAGTAATCGAATGTTTTCATGCGATTTCTTCTTGAAGAATTTCCAGTATGCTTAGAATTTGTAAGTCATATCAATAATGAAACTAAACGTATTTTAAGTTTACTTTTTTCCATTTATCTTTTCCTTAGTGAAAAAAATTCCTCTTGCGATGTACACAAAGAATTTCTTAAATTCATGTATATGCTTAGGAACATACAATTAAGATATTTCTTGTACACCCCATGAATATCTGAATTTTGTCTGGCCTACTTATACATCCATGTTAACCATCTTCGAGGTCTGTTACATTGTCGATTCATAGTACTTCAGTTATTATACATATAGAATATTTGTAACACCTTCATCGCTTAAAGTTACCGATTTTTACGATACATTTCTTTCTTTGGACCCGTGCGTTAACAAAAGTATTAGTACTCATTGCCCTACAATTCTTAGTAGCATGTAATGATACGTAGAGAACACAAGGTTGCAGCTTAGCATACAAAAGGGCTGCAACATTATTTCCACCTTCACCATTTCCCTAATACATACTGTGGGGAAGTTTCGATTGTTCTGGGATAGGTACGAAGTTCACCAGCTGCCTTTTATATGATTACTTCCTAACTTTTTTTTTTAAACACTGTTGTGTCTGTGTAAGCAGCAGAAATGCTGATAAAAATGGCACACGTGCCATTAGAGAACCAAATCACTAAACCTTCAATTTACATTAGTACGTCTCTCTCTCTCTCCCTTTTTTTTTAAGAATCTCCCTATGAAATTTAACATTACAAACGCATAGCGCATTCATGTTTTGGATAAATGACTACTTCCAAGTTGTTTAACTTTTCAATATGTTAAAATTTTCAGAAAAGAAACTTTCAATGTGTTAAAGCAAATATTCGTTATTTATAGGAAAAAAGCAATTGGTGATTAAAAGAGCTTTGACAGCGCTGCAGTAACATCATAGTAATTACTCTCCTTTTTAAACATCTTAAAGAATTGCGATCAAATGTTACGTTATTGGTCCGAGACAAATACACCCCTAACAATGTTGCATGGCAGCCCTTTCATATAATACAAGTAACCGAGTATTTAGATTGTAAATATTAGAGTGAAAGCTTGAATAGCACCAGACTCGTACAGACAGTCTGGTGCATTTACCTTTGTTATAACCACCACGGCCACCGCCACTGCTAAAACACAGAAGCAGATATACCAATGAGTTGACTCATGGACAGACTGATCGATCGATCGATGCATGGCGAATCAAATGCTGCTCGCCACCTCTCTTCTTGATGTACCTACTGTCTAAATGTCTGTAGTCATATTATCTTAATACTAGGGGTAAGTCTTGTCCACTGTCGCGTTAGTCGGTCGTGTCCAGCATGCATAAAATTACCTATATATCGTGGTAACAATATGGACAAAAAACCAAGAATAAAGCAGTGCTTTTCGTAAAAGTAATTAATGTAACAGCTTTTACCAAAGACAAAATGGTCGAAAACTGTAAAACATTACCCTATTCACACCTATACAACTATTGTATTTGAAAGATATGTGCAACTATTGTACTTGAAAGTTTAATGGTAAGAGATTACTACTGATTCGTTTATGTAAATATATATACTTTGATTTTGATAGAACAGCACAAAATAATGGAGTAAATGATATTCAGAAGAAAAAATAAATGGTTTTTGAATAACTGAAGATAACAAATCATTAAATCATATGTAACAAATGCCAATGGATTCATTGAAATTTCAACTTACAAATGATATATTTTTTTTGTTCACTACACCAAGTAATTGCAATCTCTTACAAAACTTTGAACGTCTTTCGATTGTCTAGTCGATTTCAATAATCCTATGATGATAGGACTTAAACAACAGTGGCCCCAGTGGCAGTATTAACTGCATTACAGGTATGATCGATGCGAAACCTTAATACATGTACGCATCACGTTTTTACTTATTCCAGTAAATGCAGAATCAGAACATATCACACATTATAACCATTTTACGTCATTTGTCATATACAACCTGTGTTTACCTTAACCAGTTATACCTGTGTGTTAAACCTGTAGGCACACTTCAAACATATTAACGCCCAGAGGGCATAAATCCATTTGCAAAGAGACAACAAGTTTTCAATACTCTCATAAGAACTTCATTTCATACCTTGATTAATTCAATGAATGTATTACCTTTTTACTAATCGTTACTCTCGATACATAACTGAATCTTTAATTGGTCTTATAACTTTCTCCGCTTCGTCATACGTATGTATAAGTATATATTGTAAACAATGTACTTACTTGTAGCCACCGCCAGAGCGGTCATTGTATCCCCCGCGATCGCCATATCTATTGCCACCGCCTCCTCCTTGGCCTAAGTAAATACATATATACTTGATTTACATTTCCTACTCACAAACACAATTACAACAATTACAGTTTCACTTATTTAACATATATTATATACCTCCACCATAACCTCCACTAGAATTATTACGATTATAACCACCGCTACCTCCTCCTCCACCTCCATGTCCATAACTCCCACTATAATTGCTACTGCCGCTATTATTTCCAGAACCACCTCCACTCCCATAACTGTTTTGGCTGTAACTGTTCTGACTCTGCGGCTGATTGTAGTCTTGCCCACCGCTGGAATTGTAACTGTTGTAACTGCCATAGCTGCTTCCAGTACTTGGTGGTGGTTGACTATATTGATTATAGCTGCCACCACCACTAGAAGGTGGCGGATACGAAGTATCCTGACCACCGGAAGGTGGTGGCTGACTGTACTGATTGTACCCCTGTTGCTGGTAGTTTGAATATTCTGGAATAGATAAACAAACATTACTATACACTTTAAAAAGATAGACATGCACAAACAAATGCTGTTTCAGTTTTAACACAGCATTTGCGACGGTAGCCGCTGATCACACACGGGCGGCACCGACGCTGGCACAAAGGACAAGTCATTTTGTGCCAAAAATGCTGCGACGACGCGGCAACGAACGTGTATAGTGTCGGGACATGTGAATTGATAAAAACATGAAAAGATGAGAACCTAAAACATTGATCAGGGCCACCCAAAAAGAATGGCCCAGTAAAATAGTATACTATGTATTGAAACAAAACTTAAAAATATTGTAAACACTAATTAATATTTGCAGTTTTTCTGCTATTACAACAGAATGCAGGACACGGTCCTGAATACCGCGGCATCAATCGGTATATATCGCTGCTCGATGTGTTAATTTACGACCATGCTATTTACACACATATCTTTGCGAGGGCTAAACTATGAGCTAGAATATGAGCTACCCTATAATTTTATAATATATATAATTACTGAAACATTGATATTGTTTATAAATATTCAATTGTTTGAACAATAAATATTGCAATATGATATAAAGAAATAACTCATATAGAAATATTATAGGATCCTGGAAAAAAGGGAATGTATTAAATTATAGTAAAAATATTCATAATAACTGAAATTGATCAAAAGTATACATGTGATTACAGAGAAAAATTTGATAGCGACTAATATCATGTATTTGGGCAAGGCCTATTTTTATGTAGTAATAGTATTTTGTCACATGAAATCACATAATATGCCATTGTTGTGTTTCAAAATGAAACAGAAATTAAACGGAATTAAGCAGAGAATTGTAGGCGAAAATGAAAACTGTCTAAAAATCGAATAACAAAATGGAGTAGAAAAGTGGCATGAGACGCTTGAAATGCCGATCAATAAAGCTCATATGCAGACGCATAGAAACGGTACTTTCATAATTTTCTTGTATTTTTCACGTTAGATTACAATATTTTAAGTAGCTTTTTTTCTGAAATTTTACAGCATATAATTAAAAAGTTCTATTGTAACTGGATTATCAGACGTGGCAATCCTACAAGTTACGACGAAATATATTATCCAACAAGTTTTCGCAATAAAAATTCGGTTTCTCGGTGGAAATAGATATTCTGTTATTCGAAAATTTACCACAGACTTAAGTGTAAAAAATTTTGCAATTTTTCTTTACTTACGGGTGTCCGTCATCGTGCCTTTCTCCGGTAATCAAATCGCTACACGGTAGAAAAAGCACGTAATGGCGGGAATCGAGTGACTTTCCAACGACGATTCCGAACGACTCGAATTCAATGCTTCAACTCGGTGTTTTCCTACCGGATGTTCAGCGCTAGAACGGAAATCGTCTTTCTTAGATGGCGCTGTTTCACACATTCATAGTCATGTCAATTGACTACCGTTGTAATACCTACGAATTTGAATTCTAAAATCGTTAGTAGATCGTCAATTGATATAATTTTACCGTTTTTTGCAATTATCTAAATTTATGTGTCCTGTGTAAACCTTTACACTTATAATGGAATGTGAATGCAGTCAGTAATACCTATTATTCATAATTTGAGCATTTAATATCATCAGCAATAAGTAATAGACATGATAATTTGTTAATTTACTGAATTTTTATTATTCTCTTATCATAATACTACACTTAGCTTACGTTTTCAGTGCGATACATAATTTTGGTCTTATTTCGTGAACAAAACACACTGCATGTCGATAGTCGTAATTAAAAATCACTACCTTTGATGCAGTGTCGTTTGATTCTTGTTACAGCTTTTTTGATATATAATATTTACACAGAAAATACTCCTTGTTTACAGTAATGATTTGAACATATATCCCATTAACTCATCAAGATGCTTAACTTCTTTACATTTTGTTTACAAACTTCTGGTAATTTCATACAAAGATTAGGAATCAACGACAAAGAATTCTTTTTTTTTTTTTTTGAAAATTAATAATCTTGATGGGTTGAATAGTATATTGCAACACATGTATACTTCGTACGTATACACGTAAAACACAAATACATTTTACACAGTCGATTCTATATTACATACTGATAGTGTACAATTGCCGTAAGAAAAACTGTTATAGGTTGAAACATAAACAAAATAGAAATGAACGTACTATGTTACGATAAAAATCGCAAATGCAGGAAACGGATGAGTACAAGATAATCGAAGTCTAATCTTCATAAAAAAAAACACAGGGCTCACCTAGCTCACAGTTTTATATAATTTTCGTAGAAAGTAGCTTAGTTGCAATAGTTATCTGTACATGTGTATTCTTGATTACCAAAAAGGAGAAGCTCAATTGCGTCCATGTAAATTATAGTATTAGGTCAAAAGTTTGATACAAACAAAAAAGGTAAGATTAAAGATCACGAATTGGAATGTTGAGACGGCGTTAATCCTCCGGTGTGTTCAGGGCTGTGCTTCTGTTTTTTTCTCTTTTTCTCTTTCTTCCGTTTCTTCCTGGCCTCCTTCTCCTCATCGTGTCTCTTCTGTTTCTTGTGCTTTTTCTCGTGAGTATCCGAACCACCGATATCTGTTATTGTTGCTTCTTGACCCGTGGGTACTTCTCCTGGCTTGTGTTTGTGTTTTTTATGCTTATTTTTATGTTTCCTTTGTGGAGCCTGATTGACATAACGATACTGTTCCGGTAGCTACAAAAACATGACATTTTTTATATTCTGTCTGAACATTTGTTTTAAAACAATTTTTTTTCACAATGCAGTCACGTTTACTTACAGGTCCGGGATGCAAACGAAAACCGGCTAACTGGACACTAGTTAATGGTAATAATTCTTTTCCACCTATTGGAGGTTTTTCGATAACAGATCTCAATGAACTGAAAAACAAAAGCTCTCTAGAATTCATATGTAGTACCTCCAGGAGAATAGGTATTTTCAGCATTTTTATTTACATGTACAGTAACAAAAAAGAGTAACAAGTCACTACATAAAAAATCTTTGAATAATATAGTTTAAGGTCTTAATAGTAATAATTGTAAATAATTACAGTAATTCATAAGATCAAAGGCTACAATATTAACGCACCTGTTATCCAGATGACCAGGTCTATCTATGATTCCAGGTAAATTAGGTAAAAAGGAAGAGAGTTGTTCCTTGAGTTTCTTTCCACTAAATTTACTATAAGAGTGTTCCAGACCATAATAGGCCATTAAATTTGTTGCCCCCGTAAGTTCACTTTCTCCTGAAATATTAATTCAAAAGAATTTATTAGAAAAAATATGTCTATTTCACATTTGTTTTAGTTCTTACACAAAATATATACCAGGGGGTTCCTTCATCAAGTAAAAAGGTCCACTGTGGACAATAGAAGGATTCTTTCCCAGGGAAATGGTTGTTTTGAGTGTCCCTGTAGAATCCTGACGCGCAACAACAGGGGAACGTGCACCCCTGGGTGACGATTTTGGTGAATATTGCTCCACTTTGCTACGAAACTGATCACCCATCATCATCCTTTGATTTTACTTCATGGCACCTTCACTACAATTAATTGGCTCTAGCAGAGAGCACAAACAAACATTTAGAATGTCTCCCGGTGAACCCAATGAATGTTTACACTTTATTAAAGCATTCAAGAACAACTTGATGCTACTTATAACAATGCATGATAAATATATAATTCTCATATTATTGTGTACAGGAACCATGCAACACAGTGACAATGATACATGATTTGATAAGTTATACAATCAGTAGATTGGGGCAATACTTAAGAAATGTCTTGAAATTTTTTACTAATTAAATCTCAATGAAATTAGTAATATCGCCACAATCTATTCGTCCGCAGATTGATCTAGGTAACGATTGATCATTTCGTTAACACCGTGATCGTATCACTCATTCGTAGGTTACAGTTCGTATAAAATAAAAACAGTCGTTGTCAGTTGCAAAACATATCACGAGACAATGTTCTCTCTATAAACTAAAAATCAATCAAAATTTTACGTTCTTACGGCACTTTGTTAAGTACATACTGATACGAATACGTCTAGACGGGTCCGTGTATAGTAATTCATCTAAATCCATTATTTCTTCGGGTATCTCCGTTAACCAACAAACCCACCCTTCTGGGTTCATCCCTTACCGAGGCGCCACTCGATTTACAATTTTTTATGTCCTGTTTCTTTTTTTCTGACTTCACATGTCACACGCGTCGCACATCCAGAGCTAACACTTTGAAAAGTCGACATTAGACTTCTGGATTGAGCATGCAAGCGTTGCATAAAATACACTGACGGTCAAAATACTTGTCCATCCCATTCCGGCCACATAAGGATTGCTAGTTAAAACGAGAGTCCTTTCTCATGTCGTGATATTCGATGGTATACAAAGGATTTAAAAGAATATAGAAAACTCTATAGAAATTACAATTAAAAATGTTTTGTAACAGTGTTAGACTCTCCCTCGGATCTCCAAAAATCTATATTACACTTTAATTATTGGTTTCAGTAATATTACGTATTCTTTCTCCCTATATATCTACGATACTTGCGTAAACGTCACCCAACGTCACCACGGATTGGTACCAATAAGGGCCACACAATGTAGAAGGCGTTCATGGTCCGTCTTACGCGAAACAATAGCCATTTTTTCTTGCAAATTCGTTGGTTTGGGGGAACCAAATCTAAATAGCAGCCTTGGTCTATACTTATACCTTGTCTATGGCACAAGTTAAACGAATTAACGAGTCGTAGTATTGTGGTGCCACCATAGCGTCAATATTTTCGAAGTCAGTGGAACGGGTTAGAGTACGAGTACAAAATATTTCTAAAACGGGCAAACGTTTATTGCCAGTATCTCTGAAAAAAATCAGAAAATGGCAACGGTCTTGCGTGTGAAACGTAGACTCGATGACGAGCCATTGAACGCGTTATTACTTGCCTGTAAACGTTTCAAAACATCAGAAAATGAGGAAGCCGAAAAATCAGCTGCGTCCGATCCATTGACGACTGTTGTTAAGTTCGCTGGAACTGTCAACAATCAGGTGAAGTTTAAAGACAGTTAATTAAAATTCTTGCTAATTCTTTAGATCTGTAAAAGTTATGTGCTTCTGTTCGTTATAATAGGAAGATAATGTTGTTGAACACTTAATCCAAACATTAAGTAAAGACGAATTAAAAGCGACTTTCAAACAACATCCAGTGGATGTCTTAAACAAAGTTAGAGAGAAAACAAAACAGGCTTCAGCGGATAATCGTTACAAAGTAATAAATTGTTTTCGATCTTTGGACAGTACTAAACTCGAAGTATTAGAGGACAAGGTCATGACAGTAATAGATGTAGAGGATTCTGTTTCGTGTGCTAATGCAAGGGAACATTCCACGGAAAAAGTAATTGTCAATTAATAGCTTTATATTCTTGTGATTGTAGCTGATCTTTATATAATTTAATGATGTTTTATAGAGTGACAGTTATGTGTATGATTTATATTATGGGCAAACTGATAAAGAAGTGTACATAGATGATATGGTGTCTATCCATCCGTTTGATCAAGAGCTAGTGTTTGATAATTATAGAGATAATGGTTATCCTGAAGCTGAATGTGAGTCAGAAGATTCTAATTCTGAGTCAAATTGGAGAAATGATTATCCTGATTCAGACCACTCTGGAAGTTCAATTGATGAAGATGATATGAGCAAAGCTGTTAGGAGAATGAGGTTTGATGAACGATCTGATTTATCTAGCGAAGATGATTTTGTTTATGCAGTTGATGAGGGTGATGTAGAAGCTTACGGTTATAAATATGCAAGGTACAAGGCAAAGATGAAAAAAGAATTAGATCAGGAAAATAGTAATAGCGATGATAGTGCAGAATACGTATTTGAAGAAGTAGATGATAACACAGATTCTGATAAGGATTAATGTTAAGCTTTCTAGTAATATTCTAATTGTATATAAGTCTTTTTCTACTGATAGCTAAACTATGAATTCAGTATAATTGCACTCCACCCACACTTATTTTTGTAAAGCTTCTACATTGTGAACACTTTAAACCATATGTAAATGAACAAATGTCTTGTTTTGTAATTAAAATTGTTCTCTAAATCGAATTCGTTTATCTCGAACGTATTCCTACTACTGTGTAGAAGCAAGGATCATAATGGTCTTAGAATTTTATTTATGCCTGTATATTTGTTACATATTTATATAGATATATCTTGCATGTAAATTTCATCTATCAAAATAAAAACAATAAAAGTAAACCTAGGCGTCAAGATGACAGAGGAGGGTGTATAGGTATTTAGAAAAAGAACCGTTTTTCGACGATATATGGCATATAATAATACACCAGATTTATAATGTATAACAAATCGTTTGGAAGTACCGGATAGAGATTTACAAGTGTTCGGCAATAAAGGGTATCCTTAATCGTGATGCGTTATCAAATCATTTGTATTTATTTTTAAATGGAATATCGCGAGTCCTGCGTTCCTTTAGACAGCGATCATCAAGGGTAACAGGGGACCCCGTAAATAACGTAACAGTTAGCTTTATAAAAAGTATCCGCGAATGGTTCGCGTTTATCTGACTACGCTAGTCGTCGAAATACGAAAAACAATTTTACATGTAACTGAGATTTTTGGATATGCTGTCGCGGTTCGACAACGCACACATCAATGTGATTTTCTCGTCGTTGAAGTATCGTACGAGGGGAAAAAGAAAAAAAGATTGATGCCATTCAACGAACTCGTTAATATATGATATGAATAGTACGCTGCGTATACGTGTAACACTGGCCTTAATTCTAATTTTTACATTTACGCGCTCGCAACGAGTTCTGTTACTTGTTCACAAGTAAACACTCCTCGTTGCTCTTTTGATTGTATCGTACGAAGCAAATGCGTTGGTAGAACAATCCCAATTTATACTATGGAACTTTCATTCCTTCGTAACAATTGGGAAACAACATGGAAATCCTCGATTCTTATGGCAGTCTATGGGTGCATTTATCAACGTACTTACCCCCCCCCCTCCCTCCCCGCCCCCCTTCCCCGATGTGTATCGGCGCGATTTATGGACATTAAGTCACTTTTATTTATATTTATATATTTATAATAAATTAAATGTCATATTGCAACTTAGCGCGTTTTCACAAGCTTGAGATTGGTATCAATCGGGATAATTACTATCGTTCCGGTAATACTCTACTCATCTACTGTACAACATTTTACACTCATCTTTTATTATCCGTAATTCCTTAGGTATGTCGATTAATTAGTTACAGCTACGAGATTATTGAAGAGTCATGAGATTGCACACCTTTGTATCGGGTCGGTCGTGGCATTCGAGACCAAGTTACATCGTCGTTCCACCCTAAATCGAACAATCTACTACGATCCATCTTACACAGCACGCATCTATCTCATCGGGCAGCCTCACTTTGGTATGTGTCAAATATATTTCACGCTAGTTTTCTTTTTAGTTTTTCACTCTCTACGTCCACTCGTTCTCCAAAGCGTACTACCGAAACACTACTACCGGCCACGACCGCCTAAATGTCGCCGCTCAGAACCTCGTTTTATTCTTCCGCAGCTCCCGTGTCCACGCACGCGTATATGTACACGTCGGTTGAAACAACTTATAAGTACAAACAATTCCCTGGATCAACAGAAATCACACAACGGTAGTCAACTAAAACGGATAGTTGATAATTCTATTATATATATATATATGTATATATATAAACTGGCAACAATTAACAGTCCCGTCGGATCATCCCAGGTGATGATGTCGGAAAACGATCACCGTTAGACGCCTTATACGATTCTTGAGAGTCTTTTAAAGCACGGACGCTTCAGTTCGGCCGCTTGGTGGCGTTGTGGCGTGGCTGCTAGAGTTATTATTATTGTTATTGTTGTTGTTGTTGTTGCTCGCCTCGCCGGCGTGACTCGAGCAGTAAAACTTCTTGTGAGCTATGAACGTGCTAAGATAATTGAAGCTGATGTCACACGACCGACAGTAACGGGGACCGCTTTTGTTCGGATCGAGACTCTCTTCCGGTGGCGGTGTGTCTTCACGTTCCTGTTTCACTTTGCTCGTGACCGTAGGAGGTGGGGGTGGAGGTGGCGGAGGCTGCGGACTCTTTCGCACTTCTGTTTTGCCGTTCACCTGCACCTCTCCAGGGATTTCTTCGGGAGTAGTGGCTGGAGCGGGTTCTGGGGTAGGTAAAACTGTTTCGTCGTCTAGCACGCAGGTTATGTAATTTTCTTCCTGTAAGAAAAATATTCAGAAACGCTTAGTAGCTAACAGGCGCTATGGGATTAATCTTTAAAATAAATGTAATAGCCTATAGTTCTAGATAATTTGATTATTATCTAATTGAATTTAATATTCGATATTTTTGTACCTGCAGATCGGCCCCGCGCTTCTCAAAGTGCATTTTTATATGCGTCCTCATACCACGCAACGTGTTTCCTTTGTAACGACAGATCGTGCATCTGAAAGCCTTGACACCTTGATGAGCATCCATGTGACGCTGGGCAGCTCCTGCTGTGGGACTAACCGCACCACACACGGGACATCTCCAACCACCAGTGGTTCCACTGGTGCACGTATGGGTGGATCCAGGCTCGATTATAGCCTGTACGAAAATAATTATTTCATTCAACAACGCCTGCTTTCATTTGAAGAGTTATGTCAGGAATCGAATTACAAACCTTGCACTTGGTGCATCTCGAGTGATGTTCTTGAGGTTCCGGCCTCTTCGGGCAGTAAAATGCTTGATGGGCCACCAAATTGTCCATGGATGCGAACTTAATACCGCACGCGGCGCATATTAACTGTACTAAAGGGGGCGACGGTGTGCCTGGTGGCGGTGGACTATTACTGACCGTGGTTTCTCTCGCTTGGCAATAGTGCTTCTTGTGCGCGACGAAATTTTCGTGGCGACAAAAGACAATGTTGCATTCCTTGCACCTGGGGATACAATGATTTGGAGTAGTATTTAATACAAGGCCGATTTGACAAACACCTCCCCGTAAGATACCATCGTATTTAAAAAGGACTAAAGTAAACTCACCTCGAGACACCCTGTTTAACAAGAACCCCTGGAACAGGCGGTGGTGGCAGCTCGGCTAATCTCAAGGCAAGCTCGGTCGGCGGAGGAGGCGCAACGGTTCCAGCTGTTGTTGGAGCTGAACCAATAGACCTGGCTCTGGGACTTCCACTTCCTCTGGATCTTGGACTACCAGGTGGCGGAGGTAGAGATGAGGGAGCCGGTGATACCCTGTTCTCCTTTTCGTCTTGGTGTGCCGGTGACTTCCGAACGCTTAGATCTAACGGCACTGAGCCAGGTGGTGACGTAGACGACGCCACCACCGATGCGGGTGTTGTTGGCTTGTTCGCTGCTCGAAGGACAGGTGGTGGTTCGACCACGGCGTTCGGTGCTGTTGCTGCGAGACCTCTCGTCATTGGCTGTAGGTGACCTGTACCGATAACAGAATAGAGTACTTGTACCCAACTTTTTAAACACTGTTATCCTACTATTTAAAAAATTTGCAAACCATTTGGCAGGAGGAAGCATGCGGTATCGGGCGCAGGCAGAGTCGGCGCGGCCAGTACACTAGCTCCCCGGAATAAAGAGTACGGTACTATCAGAATCGGGTTGGTGGGCAGTGCCAGACAGGGCTGAGGTGGAGGTGAGTCCCCAGGACTCGCAGTCGTCGGTGGCGACGCCTTCACCGACGAGGACGCCGCGCTAGGCGGCGGTGTATCTTTAACCACATGCCTGGTACTGCAATAATGAGTTTTGTGCGCTCTGTACGTCTTCAACGAGCTGAACCGGATGTCGCAATTTCTGCAATATCGTTCCGCCTCCTCGTTCAACGACCCATTCGAGGCTGTCGCGGTGGCGGCAGCGACAGCAGCGCCGGTAGTCGGCGTGGTCGCGACAACAGCTGGCGTTGTTGGTATCGCAGGTGGTGCTGGCGATGCAGCGTGCATCCTCATGTGTCTGTTCAACGACACTTTCTTGTCCGCGCTGTACGAACAATGCGGGCAAGCGTACGCTTTTCTGACCTCGAATTTACTCGACTTCTCGTCGTCCTCGTCGTTCGTGGTCTCGTCCTCGAGCCGTGGACGATGCGCGCAGTAAAATGTCCGATGTGCCTCCAGCGTGCTCGCCGAACTGAAACGGATGCCGCACGGTGGACAGATCAAAGGCGCCGGCCTGGCTGGTTCCACGGTGATCGTTTCTTTGCCGTCGGTGGGCAACACGAATAATCGACCCGACGCAATCGCTGAAATGTGAGTTGAATATTAGTTTGCTTTTATTTAGTTCGATTGCTAGAGATGGTACTAAAACGGTGCACTAAATCCTCGATGAGTGCTCGAAGGCTCCTCTACTGAACATTTAATATTAATTTTTCCAAACTGATTACAAACGTGAACGTTACACCTGGGGACCTACATCCTTGTCAGGTGGCTTTCGAACATTCATCGAGGATTTACTGTATATGGTTATTAGATTACGGATATTTATGCAAATACAGATATTTGGGGATTAATTCACTGGAACTAGACTCAAACCAAGATCTGTTTACTCCATTTACTATTCTACCAGGTTCCAAAGGAAATTAAAAACTTCTTGAAAATTGAACGAACCGTACAGAGACGTTTATATACCTATTTGTACCGTACGTAAAACCGGTCATTTGATTATCTAAGCGAGGAGACGTTTAGGGCGCGTTACCATTCTGAAGACCGGCCGGTAGAGGCGGTACAGGATTCGGCGGCGAGGTATTCTCAGGTTTGACGGTGAGTGCGGCCACGGCGGCGGGTCGAAGAGCCGGGTCCGTCGCCAGACTAGCATTGAGTCTCAGTCTTGGTGTTGCTTCATCGTCGAGCTTCAGTTTCTTCTCGGACGGGGGATCGTCCGCGTTCGAACGTCTCGAGGAGTCTTCCGAGTCTCTCCTGCAAATGGAATCTCTCCTTCGGATCGAGGAGGACGAGGATGACGACGATCTTGGCTGGCAATCCTCTTCCTTGACCACGACCATCGTCTCCTCGTCCGTGTCTTTGGGACTCGACTCTCGGGTCTGATTGGGTTTCGTGTGGGCATGTCGGTCTCTTAAGCTCCTGGCAACCTGAAAACGTGGATGGAAATTAGATGATCGATATTGAAAACAGATTCGACATTACAGCGAACTCTTGATATATTGCCGCTTGATACAATGCTCTTGGGGGCATTTCAACATATTGCCGTTTACTAGAATTTTATTCTTCCACAGCTCACCGCGGCAATATATCAAAAGTCATTTGTAATTTTAAAATTGTTTTATCGTCTTATATAAGCTATTGTTGCTCACCTCGATATCTTCGGTAAGACTAGCCAGTCGTTTTCGAGCGTCCTCAGAGAGAACGCTGAGCCTCAATCTGATATCCTCTGCGGTCGAATTCGCGATCGAGACCGACGACGAGGGGGGATTTAGTCTCGGCGGTGGGGGGAGGCTCGATTCCTCTTCGACGACCGGCGCGATCGGGCTGGAAACCGCTGATCCACCACCGTCCACGCCACTGCTCACCGACGGTGCCTTCTCCGAGTCGCTCCATTCCTCATCCTCCCCTGAAACAGAAGCGAACAAAATGAAAATCCAATAGAAGAAAAATCATACTTTCCACGATCCTCAGCGTACTCTAATCATATCCAGATTATCAATTATACTTGAAACTAGATGTTTCCAAACCACAGTGAACTAGCAAAGATTTCACAAATACAAAAATACACGTGGAATATATTCTCGATAATGTTCGTACATTTCTTGAATGCACCCCAACGACGATCCACTGCCTCCCGTGAAACGACCATCACGGATCCCCGCGTGGAAGCGATTTGGTCAGGGGGGGGGGAGGCTTCGACGGAGCCGGAAGTCACGGGTGAGCGGAAGAAAGTACAAGAAAGAAGAAAAAAAAAAGGAAAGAAGGCCGGCACACGCACGATCAACGATGCGTCTCTATGGCCGTTCGGCTTCCTAATGGTCGCTCGCCACGCCACTCACGCCAGCCTTTGCGTACCCTCTCTGTTTCCCTTCTCAACTGCCAGGCCCTTTCCATCCTATCTCTCTCTATTCATTTATCTATCCCCCTACACCAGAGGCCACCCCACTCGCGGCGCTGCACCCTTCGCGCGCCTCTGAAATCCCCACCATTCGGCCGACAGCGTCGCGGCGTGTCGGTTCGATGCCGAAAGGGGCTGCCACCGCCGGCTCTCGCGTCGAAATCTCGGACTAAGCTAGAGGGGTTATGTTGTAGGCTATTGGCCCGATCCCACGAAACGGAACCGTCTTTCTTAGAACTATTCGGGAACACGCGGGGAATATCTCGGTTTCATCCATCGGATAGATCACGTCGATAGATTGCCCTGAGATATTCCGTCGACTTATCTTTGCTCATCTGGTTTTGGGTTTCAGACACAGTGCGGAGTTCAAATCTGGTAACTTGGGTATGATACCTTCTGAAGGATATAAGGCGGAGTTATTTGACTGGTCAGGGTCTATCAGTGCCTAGGTCTTGGTTAAATTTTACCTTGTCGAACAAAAATTGAAGAGGTCCACTTTTAAAAAAAAATAATTACATATTACAATCTTCCCAGGAATCAAATTTTTCACTCTGTCCGATTGTAAGTAATAGTGTATAAATGAATTCTTACTGAACGGTTCCAAAGTTACAAGATTTTCACATTTTTGGTTCGCTATCTAAAGTTTGAAAAGTGTTAGTCAATACACTTGGGGTCCAGATATACGGGAGCATCAGTAAGGGTGTAGAAGAGCCACAGTTTGGCCAGAGTGGTTTTTAATAATTGTAATTGTTCGCCAACTATCCGTGCCGAGTAGGCCAACAGTGGTGTTCTTCTAGAACCCCATGCGCGACTATCATCGAATCTCCCACTTCAAAAATATCCTGTCGCCAAATAGGTGTAACAGCATCCCTCCGGCAGCTTCTCGAACACAGCATCTGAGAATCCTCTGCCAGTTTCCGATCTCGTGGATACATCGAACGACTGTGGAACACCAACGACAGTCCAGGTGGGTTGTCCTCGAAATCGAGACGACACGCGTATCGTCCCCGTCGAATTACCCGGATGCTTTAATTGCCTCCTTGGGCGAGGCTCGACGACGTGGTCGGACGTAGAGTCTCCGTTCGATCTCTCGAGAAGGACTCGTAGGACGAACGAGGGGAAGAAGAAGAAGAAGAAGGAAGAGGACGGAGGCAAGATGCCGAAGGAGATTGGGCAAAGGGTTGCAGCGCACTTCTAGGCTATCCCATGCTCGCATCTACAGCTCGGTCGTGTTCCTCTGCTGCCTCTCTCTGTAAATAAGCGGTCATCGATGGATCGGCACCCAGACCACGCCACGTTCTTTCCCTCTTGTCTCCAACCCCCTCACGGATTTCTTTTTATGCCTGTTCTCCACGCTTTTCTAATGCTATCTCATTCGCCGTCTATTTCTTCGTTTGCTTGTTGCTCCCTGGGTAGGGGGAGAGGCATTCTTAATTGCACGGGTGTACAAGTTAAAACCTGGAACACCTTTATCGTGGATGTGTAGACGACGCGAGCTTCTTAACAGCCGATAAACGAGATCGCGTGGTTGCTACACAATTGGGATACTTTCCTTTTGCGATACTCTGGTGACACGCTGGTAGACAGTGACGTGTAAATACTTGTTCGAGAATAGTACGATCCCAGAAGAAAGTTAAGATACAGGAATAAGTACAGTAATGTTTCCATGATCGCGACGAACTAGAGAGAGACGGAAATGTTTCACAGCACCTCGTAAATTCTTTTTGCTCAAAGTTGAGCCTCTGCTTAGCTTTTGTTTACTCTGTTTTGATTGGTTCCAAAGAGGGACTACCCCAGTGGTGGGAATAACGCCGTTGCTCGTGTCGCATTTATCGAGGAATTACTGTATTTGACAGTCTATCGACTCGGTCGGTCGATCAAAAGTTGCCTAGCGTAAACGCTGCTTTACGGTATTCATTTAGATATTTTTAGGCATTACCATACGCAGCTTCAGAAATTCGGTTTATAAATCTCGTAACATGCGTTTTACGTAACTATTTCAATATCGACGTATCACCCATTATCATTAAAGATGATACATTGAATATTAAAATATTCAATCTTCCAGTAGATTTCACATCAAGTGAATACACCCGTGTCGTTGCTCACACGACCAAGTTCTATTAGGGTGGGTATACACACCTCTTACAGTTTCGAATAAAACCATTCTGCCCACCCGAAGCGGTCGGCTAAAATCAAGGCGTGCGCATGGAAGACCGGGAGGACACCATCGAACCGAGTGTAAACGTTATCTTTATTACGAAGCGATTCGAGAAATTCGGAACGGGTACAACCGGGGAACAAGCTCTCACACGGCGACAAAGGGAAACAAAGCCGTTTGAAGCGGCGAAAGAGCGAAGTGGCTTCCGACGACCGTTTCTCACGCGGTCGCGGGCTGTTCGTTTCTCGCATAAAGCGAGGGGTCCTCTTCTTTTCGAGATATATTACACCCTCAGCACCCGGAGGTGGTTGGCGGCGGTTCGTAGGTGGTTGTAGGTGAGTAAGGTGCAGCCCTCTCTCGATCGGGAACGCTTGCATGCACGCGCAATTAAGAATGCTCGGGGCTGGTAACGACAATAAGAGGCGAGAGGCTAGACAAAATAAACTGGAAGGTATTCGATGCACTTTGCGTAACAGTCTGGCTCGGATTAAGACATTTTGGGGTTCGGGATACTATTCTTCGAGGGGCCCTGTGGTTGAAAAACGAGGGAGGATACGCTATACGCTAAATAATTTTAATAACTTTCATCCCAGTTTTTTTTATACTTGTAATTTTGAATGGTTTCAAATGGAATACAGTAAAGACAGTTTTTATTCAATTATTTTGTGATGTAAATTGGAGGCTCAGAATAGAGCCTCCTGGAAAGTGGGGCCCGGGTCCCCTAGCTCCCCTTGATCCGACGTTGGTAACAGCTTGTGCGACGGAAACATATCCAATGTTTGATACAATAGCTGGATATTACAATTAAATTCTTCTTGATGATTCCATAAGCTTTAGGGGTGGAATAGAGCTCTTTGAAAATGTACAGCGATTCGGTCTTTTTCCGTTAGTCCAGTTCAAAAGGGAGCTATATCACCAGCTATAAAAAGTGGTGTATATCATACATAATATATACAATTCATAGTATAGCCGGGAATTTTTACACTAAAATATAAATTAAGGGATAATAACTAGGCACCAAGACGTGCCAGAATGAATAAAAAATCTCATTTTTCTACGTTTGATGGTATAGCTCCCTCTTTCATTGGACCCCTCCATTACACTGGTAATCTACATTTTCATCACTGATCAGTTCTATTCTCAGAAGTACCACTCTACTCTTATACAATTTACGATCCTACAAAAATTCCACCTGAGATTAATGTGACTATAGGCTCTAAATATCATCGACAGTACCCAGACAGACTACTTAATCTTCGATGAACTTCGTGATGTCATTCCAAGTCCCTGACATGGTCCCTTTCAACAGAAGTATTTGCCACCAAACTACTGTCCTCTAAAACTGGTCTATCTCCCACTACTCCAGACAATATTACACGGTCCGCCTGTCAAGATCACCTCCCAAGTGTCACTGCCTATTTCCACGTTCCTAGACCCACCGAATCCCATCAGTGTCAACCTGCTAGCGATCGTCTGTCGAAACGAATCCTCCGTCTATGCTCCCCGGTCGGAATCAGTCGCGGACGATGAGTAGAAAGAGGTCCGTTGGAACGTCAAGAATACGATTCCCCGGTGTATTCCGAGCACCAGGAACACCGGGGGCCGAGATCAACGAGAGGAGCACGAGGAAGCCCACGGGTATACATTGGCGCGGCGTAGGAGCCGATGAGAAGGTTGCGACTTGAGCTCTCACTTAGCAGCCGCAGTGTCACGATCGGGACGGCTGCATTAGCATATCTCCACGATGCCGGCGTGTAGGGCAAGAGGGGAAAAAGACAGTCGCGGTGTGCCCGCCGCCGGAAGAGGAACGAGGAGGACACCAGGCGTGGTGATGGTCGCGAGACAAAGAGAGGTAACGGTGGGAGGGAGAGCAGAGAGAAAGAGAAAAGCAAAGTGTTCCACCGGGATGCATCGGTACGAGTGGCATGCATCTCTCTGGCATGGGTCGTGGCCCCGTGAAAAGAGGGCGCACACTACCATAATACGACTCCTGGTACGTTCTCGAAGAAGAACAAGACGACCAGAACGAGGTGGACGACCAAGACGAAGAGGAGGAGAGGACTCACTCGGTAGTGGCCCTCGGCAGCAAGCCCCTGGCCTGTTACCTGTACGTCGCGTGTTTGCCTACCCGCGTCACGATCAGGATCCTATTTGCATAGCGCCCCGATGAAGCTGCTACCGTTGCGCCGCTCGTTTTCCTGCCACCGGTGTACACTCTTCTGATCGCTACGCGCCCCGGATGATGGCCGCGCAGGAAGCAGCTGGACGGCCCACCGGCCATCGGCGCAGGACGGTCTTCTTGGCTCGATAGAATTTCAACGAGATGGACCCACGACCACCTCGGGAT